CGCCGCGCGTCGCCTTTGTTCACGTTGGTGCGGGGTCCGGTACGCACCGGTGATCGGCGCTGACGAACTCTTTGACTCCGCCGATGACTCTCGTTCCAACGCCGCTGTCGCGGCGGCACGCCAGCTAGGTTCCGCTGAAATATCTTCTCTTCGATAGCTCAACCCTGAGCGTAATCTAAACCTATCGTTCATCCTAGCTTGGAAACAGCGATCTGTCGCATTTCCTTGCTTGTATGTTGTAAGCACGTGGCTCGATGGCAACCCTCAGAGCCTCCCTAGCTCGGCTGACTGCAGGTGACTCTGAGTGGGCACTGGTACAAGGCTTGCTGGGATTGGCTCCTCCCTAGTAGGCTAACGCGAGTAGTAAGAAACTCTTAGCTGATAGAGGAAACATACAAGCAAGCAAATGAACCAGACCTGTGTTGCTTGCCTAAGTATGTGCACTGGGTTACCGTTGCCTGCAACGGTTGGTTTTGTTTCGTCAATTCTCTGATTTGGCGCTATTCGCCCCTGCCTACTTCGCTTCAAAGCTACTCACTACAATATCCTGTCATGCATTTATATTGCTAGGTCCTGCTTTCTATTCTTCCGATTAAATGTATGACACCTTCGGCGGCCGGTCTACGGTCTCCGCCAGGCACCGCGTGAGTGGCACGACACACTAAGGACTACACTTGCGGCTCTTGGGTTTGCTCCCTCCACTGCTGACCCATCGCTGTTTCTACGCACCGACACTTCTCTGCCGCCGTTCTACATCCTCGTGTACGTCGACGACTTGGTCTTTGCCACAGCTGACACTGCTGAACTCGCCCACGTGAAGTCCGAGCTGCAAAAGAGACACACATGCACAGACCTGGGTGAACTGCGCAGCTACCTTGGCTTGCAGATCACCCGGGACAGAGCACGCTGCACCATCACCCTGACTCAGTCACACATGGTGCAGCAGGTCCTTCAGCACTTCGGCTTCACGTACTCCTCGCCTCAGGCCACTCCTCTGTCTACTCGCCACTCACTCTCAGCTCTGCCTTCGGATGAGTTCGTAGAGTCGAGTGGCCCATACCCAGAGCTTGTTGGCTGCCTCATGTACCTGATGACCTGCACACGACCTGACCTTGCATACCCTCTTAGCATTCTCGCACGCTATGTTGCCCCTGGGAGACACCGACCAGAGCACATGGCTGCAGCGAAGAGGGTGTTGCGCTACTTGTGCAGTACGTCGGGCATAGGGCTACTGCTTGGAGGGCGGAGTCCAGTGGTCCTCATTGGTCACGCAGACGCTTCTTGGGCTGACGATCAGGCTACGCAGCGGTCGTCACAGGGTTACACCTTCAGCCTTGGTTCCGGCTCTGTTTCGTGGCGGGATACTCGCTCGTCTTCTGTTCTCGGCTCCAGTTGTGAGGCTGAGATCTACGCAGGGGCCATGGCTGCTCAGGAGCTGCTGGCTCACCTACCTGCTGACCGACCTTGGAGAGCCGCCTCGTTCTCCTCCAGTCCTGTACGTAGACAACAAGGCCATGCTGGCCTTGTGTCGAGAGCAGAGACTGGAGCACAGAACAAAGCACATTGCTCTCCGCTACTTCCTTGCTCGTGAGCTACAGCAGCGTGGTCAGTTACGGCTTGCGTACGTGGCCTCTGAGGTCAACACTGCTGATGTCTTCACCAAGGCACTTCCGCCTTGTGATCATCAGCGCTTCTGTACCCAGTTGGGTCTTGTGCCTGTCTTGCCTCACTTGCTCACCTCTTGACCCTGCTTGTACTGTTACATATATATATATACCTGCTCTTACTTGTCTAGCCTTATATATATATATGTACTCCTGCATGTGAACTGGCCTTGTGGCCTTCAACTTGTGCTCGGACTGTGTGGTGACTTTGTGATCCACACTGAGCTTGCCTTGCTTTGCTTTACTTGACTGGTCTTGTGACCCCTAGTTCTCCCCCACTTTGCCTATGGGGGTGTGTCAAACATTATATGTTGTGCTTGTTTAGGCTACAGTGGGTTAGCCTATAGGGGGTACACAATTCAAGGGTTAGGTACTTGTATTGTTTTCACTGTTAGTTCAATCATTCCTGTTCATTGATTTCAACAGAGCTGCACCACCGTGGTCAGCTGCGCCTTGCTTACGTGGCCTCTAGGGCCAACACTGCTGATATCTTTACCAAGGCACTTCAGCCTTGTGATCATCAGCCGTTTTGTACGATGCTAGGTCTTGTGCCTACTTGGCCTCACTTGCTCACTTCTTGACCTTGCTTGTACTGTGATCTGTCTATACCTGCACTTGCTTATTTACTTCTATATATAATCATGCATGTGAACTGGCCTTGTGGCCTTGAACTTGTGCTCGGAATGTGTGGTGACGTTGTGATCCACCCTGAGCTTGCCTTGCTTGACTGGTCTTGTGACCCCTTATTCTGCCCCACTTTGCCTATGGGGGTGTGCCAAACTTATATGCTATAGTTTGTGTAGGCTGTAGTGGGTTAGACGATTTAGGGTACAACAATTTTAGGGTTTCCTACTTGTACCCACCTCTTTCCTAGCGCATCCATTCCTGTTTTCTTCACATAGCCCAGTTCGGATATTCCCCTGATACCGCAGCAAAGGAGAGGAGGACGTGGGAGGCCATCTGAAGTTCTTTATCCGAGTTGAGGAATATGGTCACGTCATCGGCGTAGCATGCCATCAGGCGACGCTGGGTGTGGGAAATAGGGAAGCCCGGGAGGAAGTGGGTGGAGTAGCGATGAAACACTTCAAGAACGCAGTGAAAAAGGAGGGGGGCAATGGGGCAGCCTTGACGGACGCCGGAGCGGACGGGGATGGCTGGCCCGCACCGGTTGTTCATTGAGATCCTGGTTGTGGTGTTGGAGTGCATAAGTCGTACCCAATTGAGAAAAACGGGGCGGAGGCCAAGTAAAGCAAGGCATGAGAGCATAAATTCGCGATCGACTAAGTCGTAGGCTTTGCGGATTTCTACCGTCAAGGCGAGCAAGGGGATGTGCTGAGTGGCGGCCCAATAAAAAATGTCGAGAGTATCGTTAAGCGAGTCGCCTATTTTCCTGGATTTGATAAACGCAGCCTGAGAGTGGTGTATGAGGGAAGGGAGCAGAGGCTGGAGACGGGAGGCGAGACGGATGGCGAGGATCTTATAGTCGGAATTCATCAACGTGATCGGCCGGAGGTTGTCGAGGACGGTGGAATCCCCCTTCTTGGGGATAAGCACTGTGCGTCCTTGCAGCATCGTGGGAGGAAGGGAGGATGAGGAGGCGAGGAACAGGGCATGGATAGCTTGGGTAAAATTAGCTCTGAAGGTGCTGAATAGCTCGCGAGGCAGCCCGTCTGGCCCAGGGGCCCCCGCGGGAGCTTGGTGATGGCAGAGGAGATCTCCTCCATGGAAAAGGGGAGTGCGAGGCGTGCGGTGATGTGCGGGGGGATGTGGGGGGGAGGAACATGGGACCAGAAGCTGTCGTCAAGATGCACGGGGTGTGAGGCGATGTAAAGGTCATGGAAGAAGGAGGTACACAAGGCACTCATTGCGGGAAGATCGGAAATGGTTTCGCCAGAGGGGGCCTGGAGAGAGTTGACTAGGGAGGCTTTAACATGAGAGTTGAGACCAGCCAGTAGAGAGGAGATGCCCATTTCGCGGGGGCCTTCGACCTTTAGCTTCGCTTTGAGGGCAATGTCGGCAGCGCGGGATGCTTCGTACTGGTCGAATTGTTGGGAAACAATGCGCAGTTGTTCGGTGAGTCCGTCATCCGTAGGGTTGACTGCTCGGGCGATACGGAGGTGACTAACCAAGTTCTGGAGATGGTGTGATGTCTTTTTGATGCGAATCTTCTCCTGTCTGCCGAATGCTTTGAGTTGGTTGCATAGGGCTAGCTTCCAGGCGTCCCAGCTGAGACCATTAAACTCAAAAGGGAGAGATTGGCATGCCGAGGAGATGAGCTGGGTTGTGAAAGGGCGGCGTAAAAGGGAATATGGAAGCCGCCAGGGTCTGGGGGCGAGGTTTGGGGCGTTGCATTGGAGAACGCAGGAGGGAGCGAGGTCGTGATCGATGAGTTCCCTGGAGGCAGACGTGTACAGGGCGTCTATAATCCGATATTTGAGGTGGTCCGAAACATAGATGCGGTCCAGACGTGAGGCGGTGGGGGGGGAGTCTCCTTGTGAGACTCTGGGTAGGGCGAAGAAGGAGAACATGGGCTCGGTGGGATAGATGAGGTGGAATGTGTCAACTAAGGAGTGTTGCTAGAGTGCAGTGGCAAGGAGTGCTCCTTCCGAGGTTTCGTGCGCCAGGGGGGGCCTGTTCCGATCCTCGGCTGAGCATTCGGCATTGAAATCTCCTGCCACGATTGTACCGCTCGAGGAGGTGGGACTCTCCAATGCAGACGTGAAGAGAGTTCTCCACGAGGGGCGTCTGAGAGAAGGGGTGGAGGGTGCGTAGATGGTAATTAGGCGAAGCTGCTCGCCGAGAAAGTTGATATGCAGGGAGAGGATCCGGCCGTCAGGGGAAGGGGTTTGGGATGAGACGGAGATTTGGCTGTTGAAGACAAGGACTGCGATACCCCCTGTTTTGTTTCGGTTAACAAAAGGGGAAGGACAATGCGCATATGAGGAAGGTTTAAGCGTCAGTATGAGTCTTTGGAAATTAAGAGTAAGTCTAGTATCTAAAAGAATGAGGATATCAGCTTTAGGGTTACGTTTGTTATGCCAACCACGAAGGTCATTGATATTTTGCTGCTTGTTAATCCCGTTCACATTAATGCATCTGATAGTTAGGGGAATTAATATTGTTCATCGGCTAGGACCCCCACATGCTCTGGCATGTGCATCCACGGGGTATAAAGGCGGAACAGGAGCCGGAGGGGGAGACGGTATGTTTTTACGGCAAACTTCCTTTGACTGTGGTATGACAATACAAGGAGACAAAGGAGAGAATGCCTAAGCACCACATGGAAAGGAGAGCAAGGCCACAGCACGTCTTCTGGCCGGCTGCCTGGAGGAATGGCTACTGCAGAAGAGCCTTGATGCGGTGGTGCTGCACCATGGTTTCGGCCTTCCAGGCCCCGTATTTGTCCTTGGTGGCGTTCAGGTGCGCGGAATCCTGCAACTTGGTGCGGTGGGAGTCGGAGTTGATATGGAACATCGCACTCTCGAGCGCAATGCCACACTCGTAGTCGCAGACCGAGCAGGCCCAAACCTCCACATCGAGGTCCAGCCCAATGAGGACTAGGCCAGGGTGCTTCTTGAAGGCAGCCGTAGCAGCATTCTGGCCGAGGAGCTTTCCTGAGGAAGGCGGGGGCGCAGTATACAGAGATAGGGGGGAGAGTGGAAGGGGGGGTAGTGCGGCCGGAGCCGCTTGACAGCCACAGAGGCAGCAGGCTGGACGGAACCAGAAACCTACTTGTGGGGGAAGTACTGATAAACAGAGACGGGTAACGGGGGGCAGGGGGAAGCCTAGTGGGAGGCAGGACCAACAGGTGGGGGAGGCAGCAAGGAGCCAAGAAAGACAGTGTCTGGGGGGGAAGAGTACCGTTAACCGCCTGGAGAGCGGACATGGTGATAGTCTGCCTGTTGGAGACTCGGTTGCGGCGGGTGATAGCGAAGCAGGCGTGATCCGCGAGCCGATGGTTGCTTGAGCACAGAGAGCACGAGTGGCTGGAGATGTTGAGGAAGGCAGGTTCCACCTAGTCCGGAATCCAGAGGATAGCCGAGATACGCTCAAAGGAAAGGTCGCCCTCAGCCGCGATAGGGAGGCCGAGCATCTGCGAGTACGCCGAGCCGTCGTAGGAGTCTTTGAGTCGGTGAAAATGCAGGAGGTCCGCAAGCCATGGAAGACCGTCCTCGGTTTTGCCAGTAAGCAGCGATTCGTGCAGGTTCTCGGCCTTGATGCCGAGCGGCACGTTCCGCACCACCACATGCGTATCCCCGCGAGCCTTGGCTGCCGAGAAGTCAGGGTAAGGGTCCGTGTGGATCTTGACCTCGATCGGGCGGCTGTTGTGGATTCGCACCAGGAAAGGATTCGCAAACAGCTCGCGAAAGGTGCGAGCGTCAACATCGGAGGGCCAGGAGTAGATATGACAGAAGTACATCTTGCACGGCAAGCGCAGCGGCTCACCCGAGGCCGCATCGAATTGCGGAACGGCGCCATTGAAGGCCGCCGGTCCGGGAAGGGCAGCAGCGATCCGGGCGAGGATACTCTCCCGAACCTCCTCGGAGCATTTAGGAAACATTACCGCCACTAGCGACTGCGAGTTGCGCGTCAGGAACCGGAGCTCAGTTCCCACCAAGGGGCGGTGACAGCGAAGGTTACGATAGCGCACCGAGAGGGCCAGGTTGGAAGCCGAGCCAGAAGGAGGCTACTCACCCGCGGCTTCCTGGACCGGGGGCTGAGGGCGAGAGGGCGGAGCAGACCTCGGCCTCGGTGGGACCGCCGGACGGGGGGACGAGGGGGCCGTAGTCGCGGAGCTGCCGGAGGAGTTAGAGCGCCGCATCGGCTGAGACGCCGGCGGCGCGGCCGTAGAAGTGCTGGGGCCGGCAGAGCCAGAGGATGTCCCTTCACCGCACTGCTTCTTAGCAGCAGGCTCTCCGTTAAGCTCCGGCAGGGCGCCATCAGGAAGGTCTTCGAGCACGTAATCACCAAGATCGGTGATCGTGTCATCTCCTACGGCAAGCTGCTCGTCAGCCATGACGGCGTCCGGGTTGTGGTGAGAGGCCATGGTGGTGAGGGATGAAGGAGGAATTAACGGTGGATGGCGTTTATACCAACGCCGAGGAACCGACGGGGTGCAGCCAGAGGGGAGGATGAAGTTGAGGCACCACCGCGGGGAGCCGAGGCGCCAGGAGCAGGAAGCATTTTTGAGATCAAAGGTTTGGGCGCTTCGGCGATGGCCTAAGCAACCCGTCAGAAGGGACTGTGTGCCAGATCGGCATAGCGAGTCGTGGAACCAAGCATGAGGAGAGGGAGAAGAACAGGACTAAGGGCCAGCGGAATTGGGTAATAGCTGACTCCAGCGGAGGCAGAGGTGACCTGGAGAGTTGCACAAAAGCGCCGCACAAGGTCTGCATGAAGTCGAGCAGCTGAGGGTGACCCAGCCAAACAAGAAAGGCTTCGCGCAAGGGAACTTGGCCGGGTCGGAGGAGGCCTTCCGGTAATTGGGGGCTGGATAGGAGACGAGAAGACCAACGGGGAAAGTCCAGCTGAGGTGTCCTCCTGAAATTACGAGCTCAGTTACACAGTCAGATCCAACCGTGGCCAACGAAAAACATACATTTTCCACAGTCTTGGGAGCATGAACCTTGTGGCCACCACTACCAGGGACACTGCAACCGGGGAACTCGTTAGACGGAGAATGGTCACACTTCGTGAAGAACACCGCATGAAGTACGCTGAAACAAGAAAACAAAAACACGGTGGTGCTCTTCAGTTAGAGAAGGGAAGGATGAGCTAGTACAAACGAGGGCAACCAGCAGCAGAGAAGCGGAGAGCTTCAAGACGGAGCGTTCCTGGCGGGGCATTTTTCGCGTTGGTTCTGACGCCTCCAAGCCACGGAAATGGTTTCAGGTCGACTGGCGAAAGGAAGGGTTTGGTTGTGCTAAAACTGGGAAGTCAAATGGTGGGAAATGAGGTGAAGGGAGTTTCTGTATACATACGAGGTCAGATACAGAAAGTTGTCATTCACTCGTTGCAAACGTGCACACGAGACAAACCTCCGTGCCATCAGCTCTGAGAGAATTAGCCCCCTCTAGCACACGCGCTATAGTGTACAATGTACGTCCAGCTGCTACAACATCTAATTGCGATCCGCGTAATATTATTCTTATCAGAGCTTTAATTTCGTTGCCAACTTCCTTTGTGGAAACCCGGCTTGTGTCACTTCCTCTATCAGCACTTGTGTTGCCCAGACCCAAGACTGAGATTAGTAACGAGTGATATTTTTCCTAGATACCTCGTTAGCGCTCGTTAGTCAAGCAGGCCTGACTGCTGCAAAGTTCAGCGAAATCTCTCTCTCCAGACTCGTGCGATCACGCCGCCCACGTCAGCCATGCCGCTCGGTCAAAGAGCCGGCGACGCGAGCGAATCGCGATACTGCGGTGCCGATGTCGCTTATAGCGAGGACATCCATCACACATTGGCGGCGAACTTGGCAGGAGGCTTTGATTTCATCGTCGCTCCTCTAGTACGCCGCGACCCGCAAACCCTCCTTCGCTCTTTCCCACCCTCCCTCCCTCCCGCCATTTGCGGACGACACGCTCCTCTTCTCCTGATTTTGGGTGCAATATCGCACAGTGTTTGTTGGTAGATTGCACCGTACATTGCCGGGATTACCGAACCTGAGATCAGCGAGGCGATCTTTTGCACTTAACGGAGACTTCTAATTCGGCTCAAAAGTCACCTCGGGGTTCCCGAACCTGAGATCAGTGAGCCAATCCTTTCCACGGGAAGGAGAAGGACTGCCGAACCAGAGATCAGCGATATCGTTTCCTAAGCAGTATTGAGAGCGCAAAATGGATATTGGGGGACGTTTGCGCGCACCTTCCGACCCCATCCCTGAGCTAGTACTTGCTACAACCAGCCTCAATAGTTGTTCTTAGTTATGACCGAAGGCTTCGATCTTCTGAGATATCCCCTAAACCACGTATGGCGGATCAGACTTCCGAGCCATGAAACCCTAGATCCGCCGCTCGTGCCATCCACTTCTCACCAAACCTCAGGCTGATCCCGCTTCCCGACCGTCCGAGGCGAGACAAGCGGATTCAGGCGGCGCAGCGGTGCCGCCTAGGGCCAGACCTAGTAGTCCTCACTCCGCCCTCCCGCTTTTAAAATGTTCTTCCCTGTTTACGCGCCTTAGCCCTTCGAGGCGCCTCACAGTGGTGCCTATTATCCCTCACTCCGTCACTCCCCGTTTGATTTCTCTTCCTTTTCCCTCCGTAGACCGACCCGTCCTACCGGCCGAGCGAAGCTAAGCCCGCCGCGGCAGGCGGAGCGGTGGTGCCGCCTTTCGCGGGATCGGATCTGGTGCTGAGCCCGTCGCAATGGAGCAGCCACGTGGTCGGCAAGCTCTCCACGTGGGCTGACGTGGACTCCCCGGATGCGCTTATGCGATCTGACAGCGAGACAGTGATTAAACAGGAGATCAGCTGGGCCTCGCATTTGTCACTTCAGGTTAGCGGCTCGGATTGGATCACTAGAATATATCAAATTTTGCAGTTACTGTAGAAGTAGGCTGGCTGGGGGTGAAAGACGGTAGATGTGGGTTTCAGGGTTTTGCGGAGGTTTTGTAATAAAAGACGTTTTTGTTTCCCTTTTTCCGCCTTCCACGAATTTCTCAACTTTCAGTTTCATTCAAATCCGGGCGGCGTGCCGCCCATGCCCAGGGACAATACCCCGAGTGCTGCCATGCCAAATACACTCGCTATCTAGACACACTCCCATTGGATGTCAAAAACCCCCACCTTTTGAGTGACTCAAAAAGCGACTCAATACACTCGCTATGTAGAAACACTCCTTTGCTTGTCAAAAACCCCCACCTTTTTTTTAACTCCCTTCTACCCCCCAAGCCCTTCCTCCGCTCCCCACCCTCTTCTCTTTCCCCCCTTCCCACGTCTCCCCGAACCCCCCTTCCCACAAACCATGTCAGGTGTGCCTGTTGCCCATGGTCAACCTCCTTGTGCGTGTGGTCGTGCCTAGTGCCTACTTTGAATCCCCGTTTTTTCTTGACTTCTGCTGGTCCCCCCTAAACACTCCCCCCCCTCCCCCCCTCCCCATTCCCGCCTCCCGCCCCTTCACCCTCACCTGTCTTGTCCTTCCCCTTTTCCCCCTGTCCGATCGGTGAGCAGGCGTGTCTGCTACCGACGCCTAGGGCTCTTGACTGTGGCGACTATGTGCGGTGCATAAGAAATAGACGTATCTCCCCTCTCTCCCTCCCTCTCTCCCCCTCCAAACCCCCAAATTCCACCCCCCTAAATCTGTTCAGGCATGTCTGCTGCCGACGCCCCCAGGGCTCTGGATTGCCTTTTGAGTCGACTCAAAAGTCGCCCAGGGCTCTGGATTGCGGTAACTACGCCGCTATGCGCGGTGCATCAACCAAGTGCCACAGAAAATAGACACACCCCCACCCCCCCTCCCCCTCCCCCTCCCCCCATCATCCTTCCCCCTTCGATGGGTGAATCAGGCGTGCCTGCTGCCGACACCCAGGGCTCTTGACTGTGGCAACTACGCGCGGTGCATAAACCAAGTGTTGCAGGGGCTGTCCAGCATGCAGGTGGGGTGCGGTAGAGAGGGGTGTGAATGGGCTGGCGGCTGGGTGATATGTGTGTCGGCTTATGTAGCGTAGCCCCCCTTTTCTCACCTCTGCTGTTGTCGGTCCCTTCCTAATCACTACAAACTCGGCTACACACTCCCCTTGTCCCCCCCCCCCCCCCCCCCAACCCTCACCGCCCCCTTACCCTCGCCACTTCCTTACCCTCCCCTTTCCTTTGACGCCACGCCACTACTACTACCCCCGTTCTTCCCTCTACCCCCGTTCTTCCCTCTACCCCTCAACTGCTTACAGCTGTGGCAGCCACAGCTATACAACAGCTGTGGCAGCCACAGCTATACAACAGCTGTGGCAGCCACAGCTATACAACAGCTGTGGCAGCCACAGCTATACAACAGCTGTGGCAGCCACAGCTATACAACAGCTGTGGCAGCCACAGCTATACAACAGCTGTGGTTGCGCATCTTCTTAATGGAAACCCCGTCTCTCAACTTCCCCACCCTAACCCCCTTCTCTCGCCCACCCCCACCCACCCCATCCCCTTGTCTTCCCCATCCTCACCCTCCCCTTTCCCTCTCGTACCATCCCAACCCCTCACTCACATCCCCCTCCGCGTACTCCCCCCACCCCCCTTTTCCCCCTTCCCGCCGCAGCTGTGATGTGACAGCACATCCCCCTCTTGGTCACGCAAGAGCGCCACGCAGCACAGATCACCGCTGAAAAGCCTTTTCTCTTTGTCGTTTTCCCTCCGTCCTCCCCTCTTCCCCTCTCCCTCTGTCCCCCCCCGCTCTGGCGCAGCTGTGGCTGCGTCATATCCTATCCCCCCTGGTGGCGCCAGAGGTGACTTTTGAGTCGACTCAAACTTCCCCTCTCCCTCTGTCCCCCCACTCTGACGCAGCTGTGATTGCGCATTCCCCCCCCCCCCCCCCCCCCCGGTGGCGCTAGAGCAGCAGAGGGCACGGCACTCTTGTGCACTCCCTCCTGTTTTTGAGTCTACTCAAAAATAGACTCTAGTGCACTTCCTTACCCGGCAATAATTCAAACCCCACCACCCCCCCCCCTCCCCCCCTCAAAATCCCATGCAGCTGTGGATGCGCATCCCCATAGTGGCACCGGAGCTGCAGGCAGCAGAGGGCAGTCCAATGCAGTCCCTGCCGCCCTGCTTGCTCCTTGTCTTTTCTGCGTCCCCTCACTGGCCTGGTCTCCTCTCCCCCCTCATCCCCCCTACCCACACAAGCTGTGGATGCGCATCCCCATAGTGGCACCGGAGCTGCAGGCAGCAGAGGGCAGCGCGGAGGAGGACGCTGTGATGCTGGTGAGAGGGATGGGAAGGGGTTGAGAGGGGTGAGAGAGGGAGAGGGGTGGGTGCGGTGGTGAGGGGAGTTTGTGGGCGTGTTGAGTTGAGGAAACAGAGGCAGCGCGGAGGAGGACACTGTGACGCTGGTGAGGGGGGTGGTGGAAGGGTGGGGGGGGGGGTGGTGGAAGGGTGGCGGGGGGGGCATTATGGCAGTAGTAGTACAGAGGAACCTAGGAGGGCGTGCAGGCAGGCAGGCAGCAGAGGGCAGCCCGGAGGAGGATGATGGTGCGTGGGGTGGGGGTGATGGTGCATGGGGTGGGGGTGATGGTGCGTGGGGTGGGGGTGATGGTGCGTGGGGTGGGGGTGATGGTGCGTGGGGTGGGGGTGATGGTGAGTGGGGTGGGGGTGATGGTGCGTGGGGTGGGGGTGATGGTGAGTGGGGTGGGGGTGATGGTGAGTGGGGTGGGGGTGATGGTGCGTGGGGTGGGGGTGATGGTGAGTGGGGTGGGGGTGATGGTGAGTGGGGTGGGGGTGATGGTGCGTGGGGTGGGGGTGATGGTGAGTGGGGTGGGGGTGATGGTGCGTGGGGTGGGGGTGATGGTGCGTGGGGTGGGGGTGATGGTGAGTGGGGTGGGGGTGATGGTGCGTGGGGTGGGGGTGATGGTGAGTGGGGTGGGGGTGATGGTGAGTGGGGTGGGGGTGATGGTGCGTGGGGTGGGGGTGATGGTGAGTGGGGTGGGGGTGATGGTGCGTGGGGTGGGGGTGATGGTGCGTGGGGTGGGGGTGATGGTGAGTGGGGTGGGGGTGATGGTGCGTGGGGTGGGGGTGATGGTGCGTGGGGTGGGGGTGATGGTGAGTGGGGTGGGGGTGATGGTGCGTGGGGTGGGGGTGATGGTGAGTGGGGTGGGGGTGATGGTGAGTGGGGTGGGGGTGATGGTGAGTGGGGTGGGGGTGATGGTGAGTGGGGTGGGGGTGATGCTGCCTGCTACCATAGAGGGAGGGGGGAAGCCTCCGCTGCCCCTTCCCCCCTGTCTCCACCACACCTCTTTCCTTCCCCCACCTCCCCTCCTCTCTCCCCATCACAGCAGCTTGCCCCAACACAAACCGTATGGTGAACTAACGACAGCTGGGAGTGGTGAAACGAGCTTTTAATGCCCTTTACCTTTACCCCTTTTCTTATCCTCCTACCTACCCTCTCCCCATCACAGCAGCGCGACCCCAACACCAGCCGAATGGTGAACGACAGGTGGGAGTGGTGGAATGCTTTCCGCTGCCCTTTACCCTCCCTGAACCCTGCCTCGTCTCTATCCCCCCTCTCCCCATAACCCCTTTGTCTCTGTCCTTATCACAGCAGCGCGACCCCAACACGAACCGAATGGTGAACGACAGCTGGGAGTGGTGGAACGCCTTCCGCTGCCTGTGTGAGCACCACGGGCACCTCTCTGTCGCGCTCGACATCACGTGAGTTTCCTGCCTGCCTCTCTTGGCGGTGGCTGTGTGAAGCGCAAACACACGAGATCAGACACTGAGAGCTTGGTGAGTGACAGGCAACTGGGAGTGGTGGAACGCGTTTCGCTGCCTGTGTGAGCACCAGGGGCACCTCTCTGTCGCCCTTGACATCACGTGAGTTCCCCCCCTGTCTGTGTGCTTCGCCCTCGCCCCTCGCCCCTTGTCGCTCACCCATTGTTCGTTGGTTGGTTGAAGCGCTGCTGTTCAGCTGCATTGAAGCGCTGCTGTTCAGCTGCATTGAAGCGCCGCTGTTCAGCTGCATTGAAGCGCCTGCCTCGCCTTCAGGGGGAGCAGGGTGGGAGATGAGGGCGCCACTCCCCATCCACCACTCCCCACCACTCCCCACCACCCACCACTCACCACTCACCACCCGTCAACCGTGGTGCACGCATGATTCGTTGGTTGGTTGAAGCGCCGCTCTTCAGCTGCATTGAAGCGCCTGCCTCGCCTTCCTCCCTGCACTCCCTTCTTGCTCCTCGTCTCTCTCCCTTCCTTCCCCTCCCTTACCCCTCCTCTCCCCCCTGCCTACTCTCTCGCCGTGCTTAGTGGGTCACTCCCATCGCCATCTGCCCTGCACCGGTGGTTGGGAGAGCCAGTCAGAGCAGCAGTCATCTTTGAAAATTCTCACAACTGGTTTTAATGCCCCTGCCCCTGCCCCTGCCCCTGCCCCTTCCTCCTCCTTCCCCCCAGCGGGTCACTCCCCTCGCCATCTGCCCTGCACCGGTGGCTGGGAGAGCCAGTCAGAGCAGCCATTCTGCACACATCTGTAAGCCAGTCGATCCCAGTCAACGCCAGTCAACTCCAGCCAACGGCAGACAACGCCAGTCAATTGCAGTGAATGCCAGTCTTCCCGTAATGCAATTTCGCTATATTGCCCTTTCGTTTCACCTACTCCCTTCTCCCTCACCCTTCTTTCCTCCCTCCTCCACTTCTCCGTCCTCCCGTATCTCGCGCCTGTGGTGTGGGCTAAGATTGATGCAAGGTCGTTTTGCCGTTACCCGTTTTTTCAACGCCTTTTCTTGCTCTGTTTCCGTCATTTGCTGCCTCACAGGCGTTGTTTGGTTTGGGTCAACTAAAAAACGTTTCCCCTCATGTCCTGCTGCCCCACAGGCCTTCCTCACAAACAAGAAGGGCTATCCTTGTCTGTCCAAGAAGCATCAAGCGCTCATCCACACTCTCTTCAACCACTCCGTGCAAGTGAGTGCATGTGAGGGCCTTTGAGTACAAGTGAGTGCATGTGAGGGCCTTTGAGTACAAGTGAGTGCATGTGAGGGCCTTTGAGTACTTTGCAAGTGAGTGAGAGCTCTTGTGTTGTTGTGACGACTTGTGATTCGCCTCAGGAGCCACGGAACGGAGCACACACTCACCACACACTCTTCAACCACGACCGAGCTTTTCTGAGAGCTCTCGTGCTCTGTCGCCCTCCCCACCTTTCTCTTCCCCATCCCCTCTTCTGCCGTTCTCATCTTTCCAACCGCTTGCACGGCCCCCCTGATTCCCTTCCTTCTCTGTCTGTATCTCCATTTCCCTTCTCTCCCCTCTTATCTCTCCCTTCTACCCTTCCATCCGCTCAGATAGTGATATGCGGGCAGCCCCTGCGCGGCCCTTCTGGCTCTTCCCCCACTTCTTCCACCCCCGCCCTCTCCTCTCCTCCCACCTTCCCCCTCTCCTCCTCCCCTCACAGATAGTGATATGCGGGCAGCCCCTGCACGGCCCCTCTGACGCCGCTGCCATGGAGGCATCGGCAGGCAGCAGTGGTGACAGCGGCAACGAGGGCAGTGATGGCGGTGAGTGGTGGTGGAATGCGGTGCATATGGTGTGTACCAACCGAACCCAAGGATATCGCCCTCCTGTGACATATAGCTGATCTGGCATATGGCATCATGTGTTGTGTTCTATATATGACTAGACTCTCTGTCATACTATTGCCAACCCTCTTTTCCCCCCTTCCCCCCTCCCCTTGTCCCGTTCCCTTTCTCCCCCATCTCTCCTCTCTCACAGGCGGCACAGTCATCCCCTCCCCAAGAATCCCTTGTCCCTGTACCTGGAGTACACACAGCAACTGTGCCCCACACCCACCCACCCACCCTCTCGGGCCCCTCCTTCCCCCCCTGCTTCCTCTCTCACAGGCGACACAGTCATCCCCAAGCATCCCTTGCGCCTCTACCTAGAGTACACATAGCGTAGCAGCTGTGCTCCACACCCACCCCTACTTTCCTTCTCCCCTCCCTCTCCTCTCCCAACAGGCGACACAGTCATCCCCAAGCATCCTCTGCGCCTCTACCTAGAGTTCACATAGCAGCTATGCCATCCCTCTCCCCTCCCTCCCTATCCCCCCCCTCTGCACCCTTTTCTCTCTTCTCTCACAGGCGACACAGTCATCCCCAAGCATCCTCTGCGCCTCTACCTAGAGTACATCGCCCATCTCTACCGCAAGCTCGACCCCTTGACGGAGCAGGAGCGCTTTGAGGTGAGCTTGTAAGGTCGTGAGATGGCATTTGTTTTCCTCTCCCTCTATCTAGAGTACATCGCCCACCTCTACCGCAAGCTAGACCCCTTGACGGAGCAGGAGCGGTTCGAGGTGAGCTGAGTACCCTCTACGTGTATTAAACCATGTGCTTTGGGGGTGTTACCCTCTACGTGTATTAAACCATGTGCTTTGGGGGTGTTACCCTCTACGTGTATTAAACCATGTGCTTTGGGGGTGTTACCCTCTACGTGTATTAAACCATGTGCTTTGGGGGTGTTACCCTCTACGTGTATTAAACCATGTGCTTTGGGGGTGTTACCCTTTACGTGTATTAAACCATGTGCTTTGGGGGTGTTACCCTCTATCTAGAGTACATCGCTCAGTTCAACCGCAAGCTGGACCCGCTCACAGAGCAAGAGAGGTTCGAGGTGAGCTGCAACAGCAGTGCTGACGAGCGGTAGTGATGAAGACTGCGCCGTGCGTGTGGTGTGACCTCTGTGAGTGTTACCCTCACTCAGAGTGTTACCCTCGCCCTCTATTGAGTGCATCGTCCACCAATACTCTACGTCAGAGCAAGTGAGGTTCGAGGTGAGCTGCTGAGTAACCCGGTCTGACTCACCTCAATCCAGCACATCGCACATCCCATCTCCACCGCGAGCTCGACCCCTTGACGGAGCAGGAGAGTGAGCTGGAGTTCTTTGAGAGGCGAGCTCAGTCTGTTTATTTGATCGACCTTGGGAATCGTTGCAAGCGCTTTGAGGCGTGAGTGTTGCTCCATGCTCGCTCGCTCGGTGTGTGGTGAAATTCGAGCGATCACAGTCCCACAGTTGGCAAGCGGTGTGGTGATCACCCCTATGCCATCTGAACCCTCTCATTTCCCTCCCACACCTGTTCTCTGCCTTTGCCTGTGCTCTCTTTTCTCTCCTCCTCCGCTTCTGCCGTGCTTCTCATCTGTTCCTTTCCTCCATCTTGGTCCTCTCTCCGTCCCCTTCACCTCTTCCTCTCCCTGTTTCCTCTCCCTCTTTCCTCTCCCTCCTTCCTCTCCCTCCTTCCTCTCCCTCTTTCCTCTCTCTCCTTCCTCTCCCTTTTCCTCTCCCTCTTTCTTCTCCCTCTTTCCTCTCCCTCTTTCCTATCCCTCTATCCACTCCCACTATTCGCTCCCTCTTTCTTCCCCCGGCCCCATGGCAGATCGGCTATCGGGACTTCCTACAAGCCCCACTCCAGGTTAGCATGAGAATCGTTTTGTATATCAAAGCTTCACCTCGTGCCCCAGCCATCATCTCATCTCATCCCTCTCCAAAAGCACTCATTCTCGCTGCTGCCCAACTTGTTCTTATCTGCCCCAGTGTCAATCCCCTCTCCGCCGCACACCTCCTCCTCTCTCTTCTCTCTCACTCCCTGCCTAATGCTGTCGTCCCCCCTTCTCTCCCCTCCTCCCCATCACAGCCACTGATGGATAATCTTGAGGCACAGACTTACGAGACGTTTGAGAAGGATGCTACAAAATACTCGCAGGTGAGATGCGGTGGAATGCGGTGCAGCCCACAAGTGCACGCAGGTGGATGGGATGTAGTGCTTTCGTGTTCTCTTCTCTCGTTCTCTTCTCTCGTTCTCCCCTCCTGTGTTCCTTGACTAAACAATCACATCTTAATGCATACACTCTAACCTTTCGTTATCCTCCTCTCATGCTCCCCTCCCCCTTGTGCCCACCCACCCACCCCATGCCGCAACAGTACCAAAAGGCTGTGTACGCTGCACTGATGGACTGTTGCTGCTCTCTTTTCCACTCCACCCCACCCCACTCCACTCCACTCCACTCCACTCCACCCCACTCCATGCTCCCTTCCCCTGTGCCAATACACCAACAGTATCAAAAGGCAGTGTACGCTGCATTGATGGACCGCATGCCTGAGAGCAAGGCAGAGAGCAGCACCGTGGTGAGTGCCGATTCTCTGCATCATTCACCAGCCCCTGTGTCTTGTAACTCACCTTTTGTTGCTCGCTGCTTTTACTATCCCTCCTCTCGCAGCATGTGTCTTATATGGTCGCTGCGTCCTTACTCACATCACCTCTCTCAGGTGCTGATGGTGGTGGGAGCGGGGCGAGGGCCGCTGGTCAGAGCATCGCTGCAGGTGAGGGCTGCTGCTGCTGCTGCTGCTGCTGCTGCTGCTGCTGCTGCTGCTGCTGCTGCTGCTGCTGCTGCTGCTGCTGCTGCTGCTGTACGCACCGCACGCTGCTGCTGCTGCTGCTGCTGCTGCTGCTGCTGCTGCTGCTGCTGCTGTACGCAAGGCACGCTGCTGCTGCTGTACGCACCGCACGCTGCTGCTGCTGCTGCGGTGGCCGCCGCTGCCACCATTCACCACCCGTGTTTGAGAGTGGCTGTTGTTGGGTCCGTGTGCAAATTACGATGCATGCTGTGGGACAACGTATGCCTGCTTTTGATCGAATTCCAAGCGACAAACAGAGGCGGGGTGCAAGCAAGCTGAATGCCCTCTTGTGGTGGTGCAGACATGGTGTGTATGTATCCTCGTGATATTCGTGTGCCACATCAGCCATACCATTCCATGTCATCCATTCCATGTCATCCATTCCGTGCCATTTATTCCACGTCATCTATTCCACGCCATTTATACAACAGGCAGCAGCGGAGGCGGGGCGCAAGCTGAAGGTGTATGCCGTGGAGAAGAACCCAAACGCTGTCGTCACCCTGCATGTGAGCGCTCGTTGTAGTCACACTGCATTTGAGCATTCGTTATAATCACTCTGCATTTGAGCACTCGCTATAATCACTCTGCATTTGAGCACTCGCTGTAATCACTCTGCATTTGAGCACTCGCTATAATCACTCTGCATTTGGGAACGCCCTCTCCTTGTCACATGTTCCACGTATTAGCACATTTCTCGTGCCTCCGGTATCCTTGTAGCAAGCCTAACTCACTCGGAGTGCAAACACCTTTTGGGAAACGCACCGTGTGTCTCTCATGTGTCTCTCACCTCTCTCTCACCTCACTCACCTCTCTCTCACCTCTCTCTCATCTCTCTCTCATCTCTCTCTCATCTCTCTCATCTCTCTCATCTCTCTCATCTGTCTCTCGTGCTATCCACACACACGCGCCCCTCCCCTTCGCTGCAACAGAGTCTGGTGGCGTTGGAGGGATGGCAGGATATGGTCACCATCGTCTCGTCTGACATGCGCAGGTAGGTTGGTGGGTTGGTGGGTTGGTGGGCTTGCGTGTTGCTTGCCGCATGCTGTGTGCATTCCATTCCATGGCCCGATGGAGGGAAGGGTGGCAGGACATGGTCACCATCGTCTCCTCGGGCATGTGCAGGTGGGTTGGTGGGTGTGCCGGGGTGCTCTGGTGTGCAAGTGATCTAAGAGCATGCTCTGTGTATTACAGGGCATGGTCACCATTGTCTCCTCGGACATGTGCAGGTGAGTTGGTGGGTTGGTGGATTGGTGCGTTGGTGTGTTGGTGCATACATTTGTGTGCTGCGTGCTGAAGGGGAGCATGAGCGTGCAGTGCAATTCCCTTTGCGGTGTGCATTTCATTCCATTCCACAGCACAGCCATCGCAGCGCGTAGTCACCATGGTTTCATCCGACATGCGCATGTGGGTAGCATGAGTGTGTGTGTGGTCACGAGCGGTGAGCATGGGCGTCCCTGTCCCACCTTCCACCCCACCCACTCCACTCCACCCATCCCATCCTCCCCCTCTCCATCTCCCACCCTTTATCCCCACCATCACCATCACCTGGCTGGAAAGCGCCTGAGCTGGCTGACATCGTGGCGCGGAGAGTTGACTTTTAAGTCGACTCAAAAGTCAACTCACAAAGCGCCTGAGCTGGCGGACATTGTGGCGTGGTGAGCGAGTGAGCTTCTGGGATCATTCGGCGACAACGAGCTGACCCAAACCACCCCGCCTGTCGTCCATTTCCCCCTCCTATGCTCCTACACTCCGTCTTTGACCCTCCCACCCTCTCCACCATCAGCTAGAAAGCACCAGAGAGAGCTAGCAGACATTCTAGTGAGCGAGCTGCTGGGGTCGTTTGGAGACAACGAGCTGTCCCATCCCAACGTCACTATTCCCCTCTTCCGTCCCCCACTTGCCTGCTCCTCTCCTTGTCCTACCCTATCACCATCAGCTGGAAAGCACCAGAGCTAGCAGACATTCTAGTGAGCGAGCTGCTGGGGTCGTTTGGAGACAACGAGTTGTCACCCGAGTGCCTGGACGGGGCCCAGCGCTTCCTTAAACCCGACGGCATCTCCATCCCCGCCTCGTGCGTTCCCATGCGTGCTGACTGCCTATGAATCTAGCCCTCCCTCCCCGCGTCGTGCAACTGTACGGTCGTGCCTCGTGAGTGACTAGTACTGAGTCCTGACTGTCTTGTCTAGCCACTGCAGTCAGGACTCATTGTCCTGACTCTCTGGTGAGCGTGGCCAGCTGCTGGGGTCGTTTGGAGACAACTAGTTGTCACCCGAGGCGGCATCTCCCTCCCCGCCTAGTGCGTGTTGAAACAATAGTAGTATCCAGCCCTCCCCGCCTAGTGCGTGTTGAAACAATAGTAGTATCCAGCCCTCCCCGCCTAGTGCGTGTTGAAACAATAGTAGTATCCAGCCCTCCCCGCCTAGTGCGTGTTGAAACAATAGTAGTATCCAGCCCTCCCCGCCTCGTGCGTGCTGACTGCCTGTCTGACATCTATCCATCCCGAATCCTGCTGAATCCTGCCCTCATGCCGAATCCTGCCTTATGTGTGCCGTCCCATCCCTACCTCGTGCGTTCCCATCCCTCCCCCCCTCGTGCTGAATACTCCCTCGTCTGTTTTCATCTCGGCAGGTACACGAGCTACATCGGCCCCATCACCTCGTCCAAGCTGCACAACGACGTACGTTGAGAGAGGTTTGTCAGAAGTTGCTCGCTCTTGCATACATGTTGAAACGTCACTGGCGGCTTTGTTTCTGTCCTTCACTCTCTGTGCCTTGTTACCCCTTGTTTTTCCTTGGTACAAAGTGCTTCTCTCTGTTGCCCCCTCTCTGTTCGATGCGTCTCTTTCTTTCGTCAACCTTTGGTACAGCAATTGTCCTCTTTGCGCACCTCGTTTTGTTCACCCCCTCGCCCTTCACCATGACCCCCTCGCCCTTCACCAATGATTACGCCCCTCCTGCCAGCCAGGTGAATTGTCGTGTGCCATTGTAACGAGGTGAATTTTGAGTCGACTCAAAAGTCGCCCCAGTTTTTCTCACCCCCTCGCCCTTCGCCAATGACCCCCCTTCCTGCCAGCCAGGTGAATGGCTACAAACACTTGGCTCGATTCTAGACGGCCTATGTGAGGCTCAAACCCTCCTTACACAGCACTTCCCTCACCTGTCTCCCATGTCTCCCCCGGTTGCCCCCTCTCCCTCTCCCCCCAGGTGAAGGGCTACAACGACCTGGCTCACTTTGAGACGGCCTATGTGGTGAAGCTGCACAGTGCAGCGAGGCTCACAGAACCCAAAGAGGTGAGAGAGAGGGCGTGCGTGGCGCATGCAGAATGGTGCATGGGGCATGGTGCATGGGGCATGGCGCATGGGGCATGGCGCATGGGGCATGGCGCATGGCGCATGGGGCATGGGGCATGGGTCATGGCGCATGGGGCATGGCGCATGGCGCATGGGGCACGGGGCATGGGGCATGGCGCATGGGGCATGGCACATGGGGCATGGCACATGGGTCACTTGGCTCACTTTGAGACGGCCTATGTGGTGAAGCTGCACAGTGCAGCACGACTGACAGAGCCCAAGGAGGTGAGGGGGGTCAGAGGGTGCATGAAAGAGGTTGCACAAGTATGTTACATAGTGCATCGTGCATGGAGCGTGGTGCATGGAGCATGGTGCATGATGCATGGTGCGTGGCGCATGCTGCATGCCGCGTGGAGCATGGAGCATGGTGCATGGAGCATGGAGCATGGAGCATGGAGTGTGGTTCAAAGGGGAATGCATCATCATTTCATTCCCGGGATGTTGTAGCAGTCCAGTGCAAGCAGTCCAGTGCAAGCAGTCCAGTGCAAGCAGCGCAGTGCAAGCAGCGCAGTGCTGTGCGGCTCAGAGAGCCCAAGGAGGGCGTCAAAGGCTGCGTGACATAGGGTGCATGGGTATGGTGCATGGGGCGTATGGGTATGGTACATGCGAGAGGGGACGCATGGTGCATGGGGGGTTGCGTCGTGGTTAAAAAGGGAATGCATATTTCTATGAGATCAACTGAGGAATCCAAAGTCTTGCTCCTTCTACTCATTTTTATTCCTTTCCGCCCCTCTTCTTCCCTCCCCTCTTCTTCCCTCCCCTCTTCTTCCCTCCCCTCTTCTTCCCTCCCCTTTTCTTCCCTCCCCTCTTCTTCCCTCCCCACTTCTTCCCTCCCCTCTTCTTCCCTCCCCTCTTCTTCCCTCCCCTCTTCTTCCCTCCCCTCTTCTTCCCTCCCCTCTTCTTCCCTCCCCTTTTCTTCCCTCCCCTCTTCTTCCCTCCCCTCTTCTTCCCTCCCCTCTTCTTCCCTCCCCTCTTCTTCCCTCCCCTCATCTTCCCTCCCCTCATCTTCCCTCCCCTCTCCCTCTCTCCCCTTATCTACCCTCGTAAAAGGGCGTCTTCCCTTGCCTTACCTCCTCTTGCTATTTCTCTCGTTGGTCCTGCGTCGCACTGCTACCTCCTTCCCTCCCCTCCACAGGTGTTCACCTTCACCCATCCCAACCGCCAAGAACCCATCGACAACACCAGATACAAGCGTTTGCTCTTCGACCTACCTCCTGACACCGGCTCTGCGCTAGTGCATGGTGAGTTTTGTTCTTCCTACAGTGGGATCCGTTATATGCATGCTGTGTGGGCATGTGTGTGAGCTATCGGAACAGATTCTATGAACCAGGTACAAGTGCCCGCTTTCGGACCCCCATTTCGCATGAAGTCGTCTTATTTGCACGAGTGGTGTTTTGTTTCTTTTACTTTTATTTTCAACCCTCGTCCCAAGGCAAATCGTAGCTTCCTCCCTGTACACGCTTCTCAATATGAACTTCGGGTTACTCCTCCCTGTAGGCGAAGATTTGTTTGCAAAATGTGGCCCGCGGGTCCTCTCATTCAAATGGGACCCTCGTCTTACAGCTGAACTACCCACCCCTCCTCCCGTCCTCTCCCATCCTCCCTCTTTCCTCATTGCCTGCAGGGTTCGGCAAATAGTTGACCCGATGCTGTATGGCGACATGCATTTCTCAGCATCGAATCGAGCCTTGTTGCGCCATACGCATTGTCCCCACCTCCCTTCCTCCCCCCCTCTCTCCCTCCCTACTGCCTGCAGGGTTTGGAGGGTACTTTGATGCGGTGCTGTACGGTGACGTGCATCTCGGCATTGAACCCGCTACAGCCACTCCCTCCATGTTCAGCTGGTGAGCCTCTGCTACTTCCCTCTTTCTGTCTATGTCCCTGCCTCCTCTTTCCCTATGATTGCAGTACAGATTGAGTCAACGTCACCATGATTGCAGTACAATCTCAATTCCACCTTCTCCTTCCGTCCCCTCTGCCATTGCCTGCACGGCTTTGAGGCGCCTCAAAACTCTGCCATTGCCTGCACAGTTCCCTCATCTCTTCCTATCCCTTTCTTGGCTTATACTACTTCACTCTCCACCTGAGGCTGTTCTTTCCCCCCTCCGCGCTCCTGCCCTCAGCCTCCCCATATTCTTCCCTCTACTCTTCCCTGTGTACGCCCCCGGGGCTGAGAAGCTGGGAGTGCGCTTTTACTGCTCACTGACTGCTCTCTCTGTCCCGCTTCCCCATCCGTTCTTTTCCCCTCTCCTCTCCTTCCCCCCCTCTCTCTCCAGGTTCCCCATATTCTTCCCGCTACGCTTCCCTGTATACGTGCCAGGGGGGGAGAGGCTAGAAGTGCACTTGTGTTGCTCACTGCTCTCCCCTTCCCCTTTTCCTTCCTCACCCGCACTCCATCCCCATCAACCCCACCTTTCCTCCCTCCGCCAGGTTCCCCATATTCTTCCCGCTACGCTTCCCTGTTTACGTGCCAGTGGGGGAGAAGCTAGAAGTGCACTTTTGGCGATGCGTTGGACCCACCAAGGTGTGTTCCTCCATCAGGTGTCGTTCGTAGGTTGGGCCCCCTGGTGTGATATCAATGACTTGTCCACTATCAGGTATTGTACACGTGTGGGTTGGTTCCGCTTAGGTGATTCTAATTTGGTTTCTCTCTCAGTTGATAATCATGTGCTGGTCCCGCATGATTTTATATCTTGGCATGTAAAGCCTGAAGCCATTAACGTACGCTCAACAATCCTCTCTGTTATTTCTTTCCCTCCCTTTTTCTCGCCCCCTCCATCTCCCTCCTCCCTCGCACCCTCCCTCTCTCTCTCTCCCCTGTATTGCTCTGTGTGCCGGGGGTTCTATCGCCTTGCCCCGTAATCCCGGAACAGGTGTGGTATGAATGGGCAGTCACCGCACCTTCCATGTCGCCCGTTCACAACCCTAACGGCCGCTCATACTGGGTCGGATTGTAGATCTGACCTCTTAATTTTGTTAGTGTCCCCGTTCTCTCATGGTTGGCTCTGAGGTGCTGACTCGTCATCAATGCTCTTTTAGGCATACCAGTAGCAGAGTTCATGTATCTGTCTAGTAGATTATGCTGTGCATTTTCCAAGGAGATTTTGATAATATAAAGTTATGCACTAGTCAATTACGAGAGAATGGTTGGCGTAGAAACCACTTCCTTTCTGGAAGTAAAAAACGGGGTAGATCAACACGAGAACACGAAGCCGTTTCCACGAGCGTTTGATTTCGCGACGCAACTGGCTGCCACACACCATTCGCGAAACCAATTTGCGGTTGTCGCTTTACCAGCGAGTGGTCGAAAATCTTGGCGCCAAGACCCCAACGGAAATCTGAAAGTTCAGAGTTCAAGAAATTGACTAGCCGCATCGCAAATGTGAACAAAGGCGTCTGAAATGTATCGCGACTCGCAAGTCGCGACCCGTCAATTGGGCCATTGGAGTGGCCAGAGCCTGCCCAAGGTCCAGCAGCAGATTTACTGTACATCTGTTTCAGTACTGTACCGTCAAGCAATATTACACGCAGGGGAGGAAAATTACACGGCCTGCTTGGGCTGTGAGGAGCAAATGTTCCATCGCTACCAATCCAGTCCGTTGCAGTCCTGTTTCTTGAGTCAGGAAGTGGTGGGGAAAAGGTGTTCACGAATGCAACTGCGTGCGGAGCACAACCGTTTCTACTCCCTGCTTCTCCTTGTAACGGAGAGAGAGAAGCGGGGAGAGGCATCGTAACGTGAGTATCATGCTTGACGATCAGGCTATTGCACTCCGTGGCCTGCCAGAAGCTTTCAAACCTGGTGCATCGCATACCATCGCACCCAATGAGTCATTGCGCTGCGTACCATTGCGCTGCGTACCAAGGCGGTCCTTAGTACGCAACACGGGCCCAATGAGCTAGAAACTTGTGCTGCGCTGGCTTACCAGTGTTTCTTGTGAGGCGCACGCTCTTGTGAGGCACGGTTGGCCTTGTGAAATGGAGTTAACAAGGCTTCATGGGCGCAATGTGAACAAGCAAGAACAAGTGCAAACCGTACCACATACCAACACCCACTTTATTAGGCAATCACAGCCCACCGGATACGAACTAATGCGTATCCAATATACAGCAGTAGCCGAAGAAATTATGTTGGCCACTCAAATCGTCACCTCCGGTGGCACATCACCGGGCCCCGCCCGTCTCATTCCCGCTTAGCATCATCAGTGAGTCTGATGCTTCTGATATCCAATCCTTACCGCCTTCACGATCGTTGCTTCTAGAAAAGAAGTGGCCATGAAACATGAAGTTAAGAAACCCATGAAATACAAGTAACGTGAACGTAAGGCGGGGAATTCAAATCTTCGACTCAGAAGATGTTGCGCTTTCCCCCGGCCGCTTTTCATCGGACGAATCGTCCGCGACCACTTGAACGAACACCAAAGAGTTCAGATCCTCCGCCGAGCGCAAGTTCAGATCCTCCGCACCCCTTACTCTCCGCCGATGCGGGGGAAGCGCGCGCGGATCTTCCTTCGGTTTCCGCCTGGCTGCATCCAGCGCCTTCCGCACGGCCGCTCGGTGCAGGCGGACGAACGCGGGATGCGGACGAAGCATTCCCGCGTGGTGCGCCTTAATCACACAGTCACTCCCGTCATCCGCGCCGGTTTCCCCGCCTTTCTCGCCGCTACCGACGGCATCAGCAGTGGCAGCGGCGGCGGTGGCGGCGGCGGGTTCGGCGTTACTGGCGATGTTGCTCGTTATCATGTTCCCTGATCGATCCGCGCAGGGGACCACGTTATGCACGCGGATCCACGGTGCTTTAACCAAAATGCCATCTTGGCTTTTCTCGACGCGAACGGAATGGACGTGCTGGGTGATGAAGAGCAGGATCGCGATGATGAATCGTACGGCTGTTGCTGCAGGAGCGGTTGCGACGGGGTTACGGCCGAGACGTCGGTTACGGCGGTGAGACAATGTCAACATTATGTCGCGTCGAGCGGATCCCAGGGTCAAGCGCTTTTGCGAAAAGAAAATTATCGCTAAAGAAATGCGAACCGGATAACAACGCTGACTTTCTTGGAAGTGAGTCGATTTTTCAAAGTAAAAGCTCCTCTATTCTAACCTTTTGACTCCCGGTGATGATTAGACGAGTCGAGGAAGGGTTGGGGCTGTGAGTGACTTCTTGCCTGCGTCTTTCGCCACGGAAGACATTGTTTCAAAGAAGAATGACCACTGCTAAAAGAACGACACGTTCATATCAAGGCGGTGAGGTCTCGATCGGATGAGCGGCAGCTGGCAAAAGGTCGTCAAAGACTAGCGTGATGCCACAAAACGTGAGGCCGGCAAAGCTTCTCCCTGCTCTAAACTGTCTGTCCACGATGCGACACACGCTTGCACGTTCTCTATGTTCTTTACATGCTCTATGTAAAGCTTGCACGTCTGCTCCTACGAGAGCAGTCTGCTCCTAAGAGTCGGGACGTCTCTTTCCATGTCTACGGAACGACCATCAACTTGACCACTTGACCCCATAACGTCTTCTAATCCGATTGACTACACCCTGTTTCGCGCTAGCAGAGCATCTGGTTGCAGAACATTCACTGGTTGTAGAACGTCACCACGTTTGAAATGGTCTTATCACCGACGGTACAAGCACATTCACAAGAAAGCGGTTAGCTAGGATGCTGCATTGTAAAGAACATTAACCAAGCGTTTCAAAGCGGTTGAAAAGGGTATACAGCGATAAAGAAAATTTTTGCCCCCAGTACCACTCCGTCAGCTGGTGCGGCTTTGCCCGCAGGTTTCAGCCATACGGTTTATGGCACCTGACCGCACTGTAGCAGCGAATCGCGCAAGGTGAGAGGGTCGAGAAACAGGGTGTACTCTTCACTCTCCCAGTGGCCGATTTGGGAGTGAACTGCGAGTGGTTGGACGGAAGGTACTGTGGGGGAAGGAACAGGTGTGTTGTGTTGGACACTTGATGGGCTTGCTTGATTGACGACGAACACGATCACGGCCGAGGGTGGGTTGCAATATTTCGTTTGACGTCGTTTGACACGGTCGATTGCGTTTACGAGCGGTTAAATATCTTCACCGCTCTAGACCATTGCGCACCAGCATGTACCTCTCAAAGTCAATCGAAAAGAAACATGACCCGCTCTGAAGGAAACTGGAGAGTTATTTAATACCGAGTAGAACCCAGCTGAATCCTAACTAGTCCCGACTCGAGTCGCAGGTCCTGGATCAGGCCAGAATCAAAACTTGAAAGAGCACAGCAGAACTGAGGTCCTACACTTCTCCCCAGAACTACAAACTGTACTTTGGGGGAGTGTCAAACTTGTCGACACTGACAAGTGGACCAGCTTGTCTGACACCTTGTTGATCTTCGCGATGGAATTGGATAGTATATCAAACCATGTGTCGCGTGATGATTGGTGAAGGCATGAAATAAGGTCCTCTGAGCAGGGAAACTGGGGTGAAACTACTTGTTATAAGACGTCAGCGATAATGATGATGTATTAACATCCAGTCAGTTTTCAGCAGAAAAGCTCACACTAGGGGGTTTTTTGCGTCACATTTAAGGGCGTATTCCTACGGCCTCCTATCAAGAAACCTCCTATCAAGATTGTACCTTTTGCCTGGTAAAAGTAGCGAGAGATTTTGGGTTTAGGGAATTTTCCAGTGAGAGCTTGATAGGAGGTTTTCTTGATAGGAGGATAGGAATACGCCCTAAGCAACATAGTTACATAGTAGCTAGATCAAATTTTGTACCTCAAATACTTTGCAAGCCCCGTTCTCTGGAGTAATTTCCCAGCAAAGGATCAGCGTGCCGCTTCTAATTTCACTGACACTCTCGTGACACAATACGGGCTATAGCAGAAATGATTCCCATCGTTTCTCGTCTTTTGTGATGCGAGGTTTTTGTTTGCACAGTCGGATTGCACTGTACCCCAACTATTTTCCCTGACTGCGTTGAATCGACTCAGATGCGCCATCCTCACTTTCATCACCACCTGCCCGCTCTTCTCTTCGTCCTCATCCTTTTGTTTGCCATGTTTTTGTGATACCAACTATTTCTGCTGATTGCGTTGAATCGACTCGAGCAGATGCTCCATCCTCACTTTCATCACCACCTGCCCGCTCTTTGTCCTCTTCCTCATCTGCCCTCTCAACTCCCTCCTCCTCTCCACCTCCTCCCTCTTCCTCCTCCCCTCCTCCATCTCCCTCCACTTCGCCTCCCTCTCTGCCGCCTGCCTTGCAGCCTCCTCCTCTCGCTTCTTCCATATCCTTTCCAGCCGATTCAACGGCCTCTGCCGCACACCCTCTCCTCCTCTTCTCCCACCCTCAACACCCCTCACACTTCCACCTGCCACCGCTCTCTCTCCTCCTCTCCCGCCTCCCAGTCCCCGGCCTCGTCCCCTGCCTTTGCCCACACCGCCCCTCTCCCACTCCTGTGCGGCCTCCTCCCGTTTTGATCCCATTCCCAAGCCACAAACCACTTGGTCCTCTAGCCCTGCTTCTTCCTCCTCCTCTTCATCACTAGAAACGTCATCCTGACTTCCTTCCTCTTCCTCCTCATTCTCCTCTTCCCTATCCTCCCCCACTACTTCCTCTTCCTCCTCTTCATCTCCCTCCTCTTCCCCTTCCCCCTCTTCTTCCTCCTCTTCTGTCCTCCCATCACCCCCCACCAATCCACTCATCCGGTCGGTCCCTGTCGCCTTCCTCTCCCGACCAATCATCTTTCGGTATTTCTGCACAGTTCTCGCATCGTTGAGGACCTTACGTCGTTTACCTGCCAGCAAGAGCGAAAAAGCGCAGGGTTTCGGGTGTTCGCAGCATTTATCGATAAAAAACCCTTCGACATTTTTTCACACCGACAAGAGCGAATAGGGTACAAGGTTCAGGTCTTTTGAGTTAAAAGTCCGTGCACGCTTTTTGAGACATCTCAACAGCCAACCAGGGAGGACAGGGTACAGGGTTTTTGGGTTAAGAGTCTGTGCTCACTAATGAATGCAAAAATGGTTGAAACAAAGGATAGGAGGCGCAACACATTGTTATCTTGTTGAATGCTTCGTGACAGTCAAAATAAGTACTTGAAACAGCAATTTCAGGTCGACCAAGCCGTGTGCGTCAACCAGAATAGTGAAGGGGTTGCGGGAGAAGGGGACAGGGGATGCGGGGGATGGGACAGGGAAGTGGGGGAAGAGGACAGGGAAGTAGGGGAACGGGACAGGGATGCGGGGAAAGGGGACAGGAAAATGGGGGAAGGGGACAAGGGATGCGGGGGAAGGGAGAAGAAGCGGAGGAGAGGACCGGGAAGGAGGGAAGGGCGGCGGGGGAATGCAACGCACGGAGCTCATTGGCGGAAAGATGCGTCCGCTGCGGCGCCATGTACCTCTTCCGCCCGCGGAACCCCTTCCGCACTCCCCCGTCCGCGCGCGGAACATACTTCTCCAACACGCCTAGCCGCAACACTCCGCCGCCTCCCCTTCCCCTTCCGCCTCCTCTCCTTCCGCTCCCCCCCCTTCCGCTTCCGCCTCCCCTTCCGCCCCGCGCGGCTGAAGCCGGGGGAAGAGGCTTCTTCATGCTTGCGCCGACGGGGGATTGCCAAAGCGAACGATTCAACGTCGCTGTTCCGCCGCTATTCTTCAAAAATTCCAAACTCCTAAGTGTGTGGGGTATCACGCCCTTGCGACAGCAGATGTAAAGTCCCTGAAGTTGCTTAGATTGTTTTCTGGAGCCTGAGATATATCTCGCACGCCTACAACTTTAATTGTATTTTCGCTTTGCGTCTATTCGAAAGTAGTAGCTCACGACGTTCTTGCGGCATCTAACGGTACACAAAGCAACCCTAATTGTCCAAAAGGGAACGAGCGCGAGCTTCGGTAATCGCGGTTTTGCCGCTGCAGATTCTGTTCAGTGTCGGCTTCTGCTCCTGAAGAAATTACCAACCGACGGACACGCCGTTTTGATTGCCGTTTTTGGACAGCAGAAGGACTGGAATGAATTCTCATGGTTTCGGGGTTAGGTTTCGCGAAATGGGAGGTTGAGGGTTTTCGCAAAACGAGAAGCTGGAACTGAGATCGTCGTTACAGATATTTCGCGAGACCAGATCCATTAAAACATCACATTGCCAACCAAGTACACGGTACTATTCAAAACATAGAAAAGCAGGTGATCGAATATGGAAGTCAAACAAGAAACTAGACAAGTCACGTCAGCAGCACAGCCAACCCCGTCTAGCACACCACACACCAAGTTCTACGAGCCTCAAAAATACCACCCACCAACCAGAGCCATAAGCACTGGAAACTCCTGGCCTGTTCCTCCTGACAAGCACTGAAGCAAGTTCACTGCCCTCTTGATGGCAACACAGCTAAAACAGCGCAACAGGCAGTGGCCGTGACGGCAACGGCTGTGGTGAGTGCCAGCACAGTAGCTGCCTCCCCCAGGCCCCCCCTTTACTAACCTAACCAGCCCCCAATGGCACAGCTAGCAGTTGGGGCACAGGGGTGGCTGTAAGGCAGCAGCAGTTGCCACACTACCAGGTCATCGCTGCACTAGCAACTCCCCACTGGCACGGCTAGTAGTTGGGAGGCGGGGGCGGCTGCCAGGCAGGAGCAGGGCTCCCCACAAAACTTTTTCAAGGCGCCTCAAATACAGCCACATGACATCGACTCCCCCAACAGCACACAGCTAGTAGTTGGGAGGCAGGGATGGCTGGCAGCAGCAGCAGCAGCAGCAGCAGCTTCCACACTGTCAGGCCCCTCGCTCCGCCCAGCACAGCATGGCTAGTAGTTGGGGGGTGGGGGTGGCTGCCAGGCAGGAGCAGGGCGGGGGAGGAGCCCAGGCGAGTACGGCAGAGGAGCGGGGGCTGCACAGGCAAGCAGAGCGGGGCAGGCCAGGGCAGGGCAGAGTGAGCACAAGGACACAGAGAGGGGCACGTGATGAGGGAGGTTATATAGGGAGGTTATGCAGGGAGGTTATGTAGGGACTGATGTGGGACAGAGGAGCAGCCGCAGTGCCAGCAGCAGCAGAGCGCGGCAGGAGCCCAGGCAGAGAAGAAGGGGGTCCCGCAACCCTGGGACAGCGTGGGCAACACACGGGCACAGAGGGATGTGTGATGAAGGGAGAGTCTCATCTTATTGGCGTTCTTACGATTAATCCATAAATTAGGGTTGCTTTTAATCTATAAAGCCCTTAGGCTGTGATGAAGGGAGGGTGATGAGGGGAGGGTGATGAGGGGAGGGTGATGAGGGGAGGGTGATGGGACAGATGTGAATCAACGGACCATCGGCAGTGCAATCCACGGTGCTGGCAGCAGTGGCAGCAGAAGCAGCAGTGGCAGCAGAAGCAGCAGCTACGTCACACTAAAGGGCACATAAAGGAGATGAAGCAGCAGCAGCAACAATAGAAGCAGAAGAAGCAACTGTCTCACCTCCAGCAGGAGTGGGAGCAGGAGCAGCAGGTATGGGCGCAGTGACCCAGTCCGGCATTCCTCCCCCCACCAATGGGATCACATGTACCAATAATACCTTCAGCAGCAGCAGCAGGAGCAGGAGCAACTGCCTCGCCTCCGCCAGGAGCAGGAGCAGCAGGAACGAGCAACCTCACCTCCAGCAGGAACGAGCAATCTCACCTCCAGCTGGAACGAGCAATCTCACCTCCAGCAGGAGCGAGCAATCTCACCTCCAGCAGGAACGAGCAATCTCACCTCCAGCAGGAACGAGCAATCTCACCTCCAGCAGGAACGAGCAATCTCACCTCCAGCAGGAGTGGGAGCAGGAGCAGCAGGTATGGGCGCAGTCACCCAATCCGGCATCCCTCCTCCCGCCTCCAGCGCTGCAGCAATGGGGTCATACGCACCATCCCCCGCTCCTCCCCCTGCTCCTCCCCCTGCTCCTCCCCCTCCACCCGTTGCTCCTCCCCCCATGCTCGCAGCAGCTGCGAAGGGATCATACGAGGAGGGGGGCGCAGAAGAGGCGGTGAGAGGAGCGGCAGAGGAAGGGGCGACCGGGGGAGCAGCGGAGGGGGCAAGCGAGTAGGGGTTGTAGGGCGAGGAGAGGGGGGGAGGAGCGGCAGGGGAGGAGGAAGGAGCGGTGGTGGGAGGCATAGGAGCAGGAGGAGAAGGGCCAGCACCAGCAGCAGCACCAGCCCCAACACTTGCACCAGCAGGAGCAGCATTAACAGCAGGGCCAGCAGGGGCAGTGGCACCACCAGCAGCTGAATACGGGTCGTATGGCGGAGGCTGGTAACCCATGTAACCGGTAGATGGGGGGTAATTCGGTGCAGGTGAGTAGGTAGGCGCCGCAGAGGGATAAGCCGGCGCAGCAGCAGGAGCAGTGGCAGGAGGGGCATACTGGCCCTGCGCTTGCTGCTGCTGCTGCGGCGGCGGGTTGTACGGCTGTTGCTGCTGCCCATAAGCTGGCGGCGGCTGCTGCTGCTGCTGCTCCTGCCCATATGGTGCTCCATACGGGCCTGGCTGTGGAGGGGGGTACTGGCCATAAAGGGGCGGCTGGCCATAGGGAGGCGGCTGCTGTTGCCCATACGCCTGACTGTATCCCCCATACCCCTCCGGGGGAGCCCCAGAGTACCCCTGGGGAGGAGCAGGGCCACCACCGTCTCCCCCTCCTGCCCCTCCTTCCGGCCCACGCCCGTCCTTCTCGTCCCTCCTCCTGTGCTCCCTGTCGCGTTCACGCTCCCTCTCCCGGTCTCGATCCCTATCCCTGTCTCTGTCCCTGTCTCTGTCTCTGTCGTCGCGCCTATCTCGGTAATCCCGGTCGTCCCTGCGGTCCCGATCGCGCCTGTCCCTGTCCCTCTCTCGCTCCCTCTCCCGCTCTCGATCCCTGTGCCTATCCCGCTCCCTCTCCCTCTCCCTATCCTTGCTCCGATCCTTCTCCTTCTCCTTCTCCCTCTCCCGCTCCTTCTCCCGCTCCTTCTCCCGCTCCTTCTGCCTCTCCTCCCGCTCCTTATCCCTCTCCTTGCTCTCCTTACTCATAGCAGCAGCAGCAAGCCTGGCTTGAGCCGCCTTAGCAGCAGCAGCAGCCAGTGCAGAAGCAGTAGACGACTTACCACTCCCACCTCCCTTCCCCTCCTCCTCACCATCCTTCCCCTCCTCCTTCACACCCCCCTCAGCTTTCTTCTGTCCGTCTTCCTGCCCGTCCGTCTGCCCGCCCGCTACCTGCCCCGCCTCACCTTCTTTTGCCACCTGAGACGCGAGGGCGGCAGACGGCACATACGTCCGAATCTTGCCCTCCATAGCAGCACCACCAGAAGCAGCAGCAGCACTCTCCCCACCAGCACCACCAGCAGCACTGGCAGCAGCAGCAGCGGCAGCAGCGGCGGCAGCAGCGGCTTCTTTTTCCTTCTCCTGCTGCTTCTTCCTAGCAGCCTCCCTCTCCTTCTCCGCCTGGAATGCAGAGGCAGCAGCTGCAGCCACGGATTCAGCAAACGATTTCTTCCTCTTCTCCCCCTGCTGCTCCTCTTTCACCCCCTTCGCCTGCCCCTCCTTCCCCACTGCCTCGGCCGTCCCCTCGTTTTTTGGCTCACTCCCCAACGCATCACCATCACCAGCAGCAGCAGCAGCACCGGCTGCAGCGGCAGCGTCGCGTTTAGTCGCGGCGGTGGCAGCAGCGACAGCCATGGCGGCAGGGGCGCTACCGGCCGCCTCCAGCTCCTCAGCCGAGCACTGCTTGTACTCCCCGGTGGTAACATCGTAACGGAACCACTGGCGTGAGTCCGAGTGGTAATACAGGTCTGAGATGGGTTGGAGGGCGGTGTGGGGGGGAAGGGGGGCAGGGGAGGAGGAAGAGGGAGGGGAGGAAGGGAGGGGAGGGGTAAACGAGGGGGTAAGGGCAAATGGAGTATCTTGGTGCGCCGAGCCCTTCAGCCGAGCACTGCTTGTACTCCCCGGTAGTAACATTGTAACGGAACCACTGGCGCGAGTCCGAGTGGTAGTAGAGGTCTGGTATGGGGGATGGAGGAAGGGTGGGGGGGAAAGAGGCAAAGAGGGTAACAGGTTCAAAGCTATTGGCTACTAGTTACTCTGCCACCCAAAGCACTAGAAGCGCTTAGGCACATACATGGACCCCATACATGAACCGCACCTGAGGCGCACATACATGGACCCCATACATGAACCGCACCTGAGGCGCACATACATGGAACCCATACATGAACCACACCTGAGGCGCACATACATGGACCCCATACATGAACCGCACCTGAGGCGCACATACATGGACCCCATACATGAACCGCACCTGAGGCGCACATACATGGACCCCATACATGAACCGCACCTGAGGCGCACATACATGGTCCCCATACATGAACCGCACCTGAGGCGCTGTCGTAATAGAACCTGGTGGTGCTGTCGTGGTAATACCCCGACGCCTCATCCCACATGAAGCACATGGCTTATGGCGGCAGGCACACACGCTCCACTCTACAAATCCCACCTGAGGCAATGGCATGCGACTGTACCAATCCGCACCTGAGGCGCTGTCATAATAGAAGCTGGTGGTGCTGTCGTAGTAATACCCCGACGCCTCGTCCCATACAAAGCCACTGCCCGCCTGCGCCTGCTGCTCGCCCCCCGCTGCCCCCTCGTCGTACTCCTTGGGCATCCACCCAGCCGCCTCCATCTGTGGAATGGAAACGAGAGGAGGGTAAAGCAGGAGGGTAAAGCAGGAGGGTAAAGCACAGACGATGATCAAGGGCGTGAGTGTTGCTGCTGCCCCCTCGTCGTACTCCTTGGGCATCCACCCAGACGCCTCCATCTGTGAAGGAAGGGGCAATGAAGGGGCCGTGAACAAAGATGTGAGGGGTGTGAAGCTTGTGAGTGCACCTGCTGCTCGCTCCCTGCTGCCCCCTCGTCGTACTCCTTGGGCATCCACCCAGACCTTTGGACCCAAACCAGACCCAAACCCGACCCAAACCAGACCCAAACCCGACCCAAACCAGACCCAAACCAGACCCAAACCCGACCCAAACCCGACCCAAACCAGACCCAAACCCGACCCAAACCCGACCCAAACCAGACCCAAGTCAACACACCTGCGCCATGACGTCAGTATCCTCAGCAGCGCCACCGCCAGCGGCAGCGGCATAGGCAGCGGTGGCAGCATCAGCAAGGGGCGTGGAGGGCACTCCGTGGTTGGGGCCGCGTGCATCATCGACCCTCCCTTTGAAACAAACCCCACACTCTTGGCCTTTGGACCCAAACCAGACTCAAACCCGACCCAAACCAGACCCAAACCAGACCCAAGTCAACACACCTGCGCCATGACGTCAGTATCCTCAGCAGCGACACCGCCAGCGGCAGCGGCATAGGCAGCGGTGGCAGCATCAGCAAGGGGCGTGGAGGGCACCCCGTGGTTGGGGCCGCGTGCATACGCCACTCGCATCACCAGTCCTCCCTTGATAACAAACTCCCACACTCTCTGACCCAAACCAGAACCAAACCAGACCCATATCAGACCCAAATCAGCCTCAAACGAGACCTAAGTCAACACACCTGAGCCATGACATCAGTATCCTCAGCAGCACCGCCACCAGCAGCCGCGGCGTAGGCAGCAGTGGCAGCATCAGCGAGGGGCGTGGAGGGCACCCCGTGGTTGGGGCCGCGTGCATACGCCACTCGCATCACCGGCCCTCCCTTAAAGAGGCGCTTGTTGTGACATGTGAGCATGGCACGCGTGGCTTGATCGACCTGTGGGAAATACAAGGAGGCAGGAAGGGCACGCAACGCAAGGCACGGAAGGCGGTTAGGAGGGAGAGGGGATGGGAGGGGAACGAGGTGAGAGGCATAACCCACTCGCATGACTGGCCCTCCTTTGAAGAGTCGCTTGTTGTGACATGTGAGCATGGCACGCGTTGCTTGATCCACATGTGGGAAAGAAATAGGGAAGGATGAAGGAGGGAAAGGGGGGGAAGAGAATGAGGTGAGGGGCATACGCCACCCGCATCACCGGGCCTCCTTTGAAGAGGCGCTTGTTGTGACACGTGAGCATGGCGCGCGTGGCTTGATCCACCTGGTGGGAGGAAGGGAGGAGGAAGAGGAGGCCAAGGGAAGGACGGGGGAGACGAGAGGGACGGACAAGGAAGAAAGGAAGGGAAGAGAGGGAGAACGGGCATGTAAGGCAAGGCACAAGAAGGGGTAAGAGGGAGAGGGAATGGTAGGAGAATGAGGTGAGGTGCAGGGCATACGCCACTCACACGACTGGCCCTCGCTTGAAGAGTCGCTTGTTGTGGCATGTGGGCATGGCACGCGTGGCTTGATCCACTTGGGAGGAGGGAATGGAAGGCAAGGAAGACGAGATAGGCACAGCATGCAAAAGCAATGAGGAGGGCGGAGGGCGAGGAATGGAACAAGAGAGGCGGGAAGAAGGGAGCAATGGGAGAGTGGGGGGGAGGCGGGAGATGGGTAACCAGAGGCGGGAGATGGGTAACCAGAGGCGGGAGATGGGTAACCAGAGGCGGGAGATGGGTAACCAGAGGCGGGAGATGGGTAACCAGAGGCGGGAGATGGGTAACCAGAGGCGGGAGATGGGTAACCAGAGGCGGGAGATGGGTAACCAGAGGCGGGAGATGGGTAACCAGAGGCGGGAGATGGGTAACCAGAGGCGGGAGATGGGTAACCAGAGGCGGGAGATGGGTAACCAGAGGCGGGAGATGGGTAACCAGAGGCGGGAGATGGGTAACCAGAGGCGGGAGATGGGTAACCAGAGGCGGGAGATGGGTAACCAGAGGCGGGAGATGGGTAACCAGAGGCGGGAGATGGGTAACCAGAGGCGGGAGATGGGTAACCAGAGGCGGGAGATGGGTAACCAGAGGCGCACCCTCTTTCCACCTCCCAAGGAGCGTCAGACTCCTGGCGTATGAAGATTTGTTTTGAGACGTCTCAAAACCAATCTTCATACACGTGGACACCAGAGCCGCAACCTCTTTCCAACTCCCAAGGAGCATCAGACTCCTGGCGTCAGGAGCCGAAAAGAGGTTCCGGTTCCCAAGGAATTGTCAGGGGGGGGGATGAAGCGTCATGAGCTGAGTGCTGGGACACAATCATACCCAGCACAAGAAAAATCCCAGAAACTCACATTGGCGAGGGTGACAAAGGCGAATCCGCGTGACTTGAGAGTTATCTTATCACGCATCATGCGCACATCCTGGTGCGACGCGCGGGGTGGCACAGAGAGGGGAGGCGGGGGGCGCACAGAGGGAAGGGGGGGGCGCACAGAGGGAAGGGGGGGGCGCACAGAGGGAAGGGGGGGGGCGCACAGAGGGAAGGGGGGGGCGCACAGAGGGAAGGGGGGGGCGCACAGAGGGAAGGGGGCCAGATGGAAGGTTCGGTGAGTTTAAAGGTGTATTGATTCGAGTGTGATCTTATCGCGCACCATATGCACGTCTTGGTGAGTGGCGAGGGGAGAGACGCAGGGTAAGAGAGGTGGGCAGAGAGAGAGAAGGGGGGCCCAGGGGAGAGGGGGGAGGGGGGGTAAGGGAAGGGAGGGGGGGGGGGGGGGGGTGGGGGGGTTTACAGATAGAGAGGGGCAGAGAGAGCAAGAGGTTAGAAAGAATAGCGAGGGGCAGATGGAACAAACGTTTGAATTTCAAGACGTCTCAAAACTCGCGCAGTCAATACAATATGACATTTCCATGCAAGTACTTCAACTATGAGAATTTACTTCGAATACGACCAAGCCAGACTTGATTGCACAGAGCAAGTATTTCTCAAATGTAACCACCCTTGAGACCTCGCACATTCCACATCCGTGTGCTATGTCCCACCCAGCCAGCTTTCTCTAGCTAAATCATGGTTCTCAATACAGTGCCCACCGCTTACAGTCACAAAGGCAATTTACAGTCACTGAGCCATGCTGGGAGAACTCCTGCCTCAGGCTCTCCTCATGCACGCTGTCGTCCAGTTCAGACCCCTCAAGGTGACTTTTGAGTCCACTCAAAAGACACTCAAGCCACTTACACTCCACACTGACTCCACTCTACAGCCGCTTTTAGTCACTGTTCCCACTTACAGTCACAGAGCCATGCTGGGAGAACTCCTGCCTCAGGCTCTCCTCATGCACGCTGTCGTCCAGACCCCTCACTATAAGCACGTTCGACGCATCTGGACCCATGGCCACAGCAACCGCCGCCGCCCTCCCGCCTCCTCGGCCCTCCCACTCGCCGCCTCCTCTGCCTCGCGCCCCATATTCGCCTCCTCCCGCGTCGACCCTGTCAGCAACAGTGACGGGATTGGCGGGCCTGCGGGTGACACACTGCTCGCGGGAAAGGAAAGGGGCGAGTACGCAGCACAAGGCGGAAAAAGGAGGTTGGGTGGAAACCATGTGATGCCATACGTTGAGTAAGATAAGAACCACGTAACATGGTTCCCTCTCGTGCCCCCACAACTTTTCCTGCCCTGAAGGGGCTTTAACAAGGCGATTCTACAGCTGGGCAAAAAGCACCCACCTTGAAGCACTCGGAGCGGCGGGCGAAGTTATTGACACTGCAGGAGGGGCAGACCTAGTTGAGGGGCATCTGAAAGGGGCTTTTAGAAGGGGGGGGAGGGGGTGCCTAAATACGGACAAGACAAGAACACAGCTCACCTTGAAGCACTCGGAGCGGCGGGCGAAGTTATTGACACTGCAGGAGGGGCAGACCTAGTTGAGGGGCATCTGAAAGGGGCTTTTAGAAGGGGGGGGGAGGGGGTGCCTAAATACGGACAAGACAAGAACACAGCTCACCTTGAAGCACTCGGAGCGGCGGGCGAAGTTATTGACACTGCAGGAGGGGCAGACCTAGTTGAGGGGCATCTGAAAGGGGCTTTTAGAAGGGGGGGGGAGGGGGTGCCTAAATACGGACAAGACAAGAACACAGCTCACCTTGAAGCACTCGGAGCGGCGGGCGAAGTTATTGACACCGCAGGAGGGGCACACCCAGTCGAGCGGCTTCCCCGAGCTGCTGTCCGCAAGCGCGCCCCCGTCCTCCGCCCCTTGCAGCGGCTTGCTGTAGGGGGTTGAAAGAGAGCAGGGAAGAGGAGGGAGGAGAGGGACGACGACGGGAGAGGCGAGGGGAGAAGGGAACAGAGAGGCGAAGAGGGAGAGGGAGAGGAAGGAGTGGAAGAGACGAGGGGCGCGGGAGGGCGGAGGAGGCACAGGGGGAGGCGGAGAGATGCAGGGGAAAGGGGGAGGGGGGGAGGACGTGGAGGCGCGAAAGGAGAGGAATAATGAGACGCGTGTGCAATGTTAAGTCCTGAGCGCAGCAGAGCAGGAGACGAATGGCAGCAATGGCTGGGGCGAGCACTAGGCAGGTGGGACAATCTGAGAGGGTGATACGCGGGAGTAAGTTTGGAAGGGGTTAAAGGAGAAACCGTTTGCTCCAACAACTGAGCCAAGCCTCAGAACCCAGCCTCTCTTGCACAAGTCGCATGACGCCCCTCCAAAAACCTCCTCAATAGTTTCCCAAGCCTCCATGGAGCGTAAGTCTCTTTTGTCTCCTGACTTGTATTGTATTTCTCACACCGATTGCACCCAAAAGAAAAGAGTCGGAAACACCAGCGAATCTCCACATTCGAACGAGCCGCCAGCTCTCCATCCGCACTTCCTCCTGTTGCGACAACGCCCCGCGCCCGCGTCACAGCCTTGGCACGAGGCAGTGCGAAACCAAGAGCTGTGAGAGCAATGACTACGCAACTAACACGTGTGAGTGAGCAGTCCGATTTGCTCACAACAACCCAGCCCAGCCAGACCCGTGTCAGAGTGCTAATTAAAGTCCTTAATCTCCACCTGTAGTGGAACAAGAGCAAGCGGTCATCCATCTTTAGCTCCTTCGCCCTTCCACCCTCCACCAGCGCCTTTGCCGCCTCCTGGAAAGAGGAGAGGCGTTACGGTATGGGACGGGACAGGGGCGAGAGGGGGAGGGGGCAAGAGGGGGAGGGGGCAAGAGGGGGAGGGGGCGGGAGGGAAGGGGAGGAAAAAAAAGGACGGAGGGGATAAGAAAGGATAACCGGGAAGGGGGGTGACAAAGAACGGTCGCACTTGAACAACGAGAGGGGGAGCAAGGTTGGGGTGGAGAGTGATGAGAAAGAAGAGGTGAGGTTGGGGTGCCGCGAAACACGGGTGGAGAAAGGAGGGAACGCAAGTGAGACCGCGGAAGTGTCATGGCCAAGGGGAATAGCGGGGAGAGGGCAGCGGCGTGCGGGAACGCAGGGACGGAAGGAGAGGGAGGGAGGGAGAAAAAGGGAGGGAGGGAGGGAGGAAGGACGTGAAAGGAGCAAAAGTGAGGAGAACGGGTTGAATCAAGGTAATAAGGGGCACGTGAGGAGAATACGGCAAGAGCAAGCAGGAACCGCACGGAACCGCACTGATGACCAGCAAGCCTTGCTTTGCTTCTGGAATCGGGAAGGGAGAGAGTGAAAACTTCGCTAAGCCACTCCTGCTTTCGTGAATGAGAAAAGGGTTTCGAGCACGCCAAAACCTGAGCGAACTGTCATGAGAACGAGCTGGAACAAGCATGCGTGGGTGGAATAGTGGCGAAACGAATGATGCGTTGCGTCTACAGCAACAAGCAAGCACGAGAGGCAAGGAAGCCGCGGAGACGCACCACGGTCTCGAGGTCAACGAAACAGAAGCCCTTGTTGAACCCCGTTGCGCGCTCCTTGATCACCCGCACCTCCTTCAACGGCCCCCACTCGCCCTGCCATGGAAACACGGAACAGACACAGGCGATGCAACAAACACACGTGTTGATCAGCACAAGCCCTTCTTAGATCCCGGCGCGCTCCTTGATCACCCGCACCTCCTTCCACGGCCCCCACTCGCCCTGCCATCGCAACTAAGTACAAACACAGGCGGGAGATGCTCCAGCTTGCGAGCAAGAACTACATACTTCCAAACAAACAGAGCGAGTGGTTCAATCAATTTCGCAGATGCAAACGCCGAGTCCAAAACAGGCGAACCCGGCAGCGGATGATTTTTTTGACGCCTCAAAAGCAGGTCTTACCAGCAGCGCGAAGATATCCGCCTCCACAGCCCACGGCGCAATCCCGCGAATGAGCACCGTGCTCGTCGGCTGCTCCGGACTGCTCTCCCTCCCGCGCCCGCGCCACCCGCCGAACCTCCCCCGCCCGTACGGCGACCGCGAGCGCGACGCCGATCTCCCCCGCCTGCGTCGCACGGGCGACCGCGACCGCGATCGCGACCGTCGCCTGCGAATCCTGGGCGACGGGCTCCTGCGCGTGGGCGACGCGGACCCAGGCTTCCTCTCCCGGACCGGGGACCTGGATCGGCGGCGGGGAGGGGAGCGGGACAGGGACCTTCCCCTCCCCCGACGGCGGAAGTACGGCGAACGGGAGCGGGAGCGGGAGCGCCGGCGCTTCTCCCCCGCGCGGTCCTCCGCCTTCGTGTCCTTGTCCCCCTCCGCGGGCACCCCTTCCGCCCGCGCCGCTTCGGCTTGCTTCGCGGCAGCCATAGCCAAAGCCATTGCGAGCCCGGGGTTGACTGCGCCCAGCTTCGCGCTGTTCGCGGCGGCGGCAAGTAACGCGGCCTTCGTTACAGCGGCAGACGCGGCGTTCGAACCGCCGAGGGCCGCGACCTGCGCCGCGAGAATCGGGTTACTCGCCAGCAACGGGTTCTTCGCCGCAGCGGCCGCTGCAATCGCCGCCGCGGCAGAACTCGTGCCGCCGGATCCGGTCGATCCGGTGATCGCGGCGGAGACAGCCGCGGCGCGCTGCTGCGCCGCCGCAAGTTGCGGGTTCGTCGCCGCGAGAAGCGCAGAAACGGCAGATCGGGCCGCAAGGATCTGAGACATAGCGGAAGTAGCAGCTCCAGTCTTAGCATCCGCACCGGCCGCCTTTCCCATTACCATCTCCACCTTGGGTTTCGACTTGCGCGGCGACTCGTCTTCGTAGATCGAGCTAGGTGCCGGCTTAAGCGGATCGCTGTATAAGCTCTGCGGCGGCGGGTAGCGATTGAGCGACGGCTTCGACGAACCATCGCGATCCCGATCCCGATCACGATCGCGGTCGCGATCGCGATCCCGGTCCCGGTCCCTGTCGCGGTCGCGGCCACGTTCGTCCCTGTCTCTCCCTCTCTCCTCCTCCGGCTGCGACTGCTGACGTTGCTTCCACGGCGCTGCCGCGGACGGATCGGGTCGCCCCTCAGGAGGCCGCATGCCACCTGGCATCTGCTGAGCTGGCGGATACTGCCCCTGAGCTGGCGGCTGTCCCTGCGCCTGCCACGGCGGCGGGGCGTATCCCCCCGGCGGCTGTTGCGGCGGGAGATGCGGCGGCGGCTGCTGATGCTGCTGCGGCGGGGGATACCCAGGTGCCGGACCGCCATACGCGGGTGGGTGCGGGCTGTAGCTTGTTGGGGGGGGAGGCGCGGCGGCGTACGGTGCACCGCCAGCGTAAGGCTGGTACTGCGGCGGCGGCGCGTTATAAGGCTGTGGCGGCGGCTCGTTATAAGATGCCGGTGGGGGACCTCCGCCGTAAGGGGGAGGCGGACCCTGGCTGTATGGAGGATAAGAGGGTTGCTGCTGAAACTGCTGCTGCTGCGGCGGCGGTTGCCGCTGCTGCTGCTGTTGCTGCGGAGGTGGATAGTGCTGTGGGGGAGGCGGCTGGTTATATCGCTGATCCATGGGTGGTGGGTTGGCTGACTGGAACGGGATAAACGGAGAAACACAACGAGAAAAAAGGTGAATTGAGAGTAACTATAGCTCCTGACGAATCAACTGGCAACAAGAGGCCTCAATCTACCTTACATTAAAAGGGCGGAATTTACGCAAGCATAATCTAGAGGACATGAAAGCGGAAAAGAAGTATAAGTGAAAATCAAGAAAAATTACGATGCCGTTTCCACCGGGAAACCTAGATAAGCGGGAATCAGAGCCGAGGGACTACTACGGAGGAAAACGCGACAGAAGGATTAACCACCAATAAACACGACCGCCAGCCTAAGATAAGACGCGGAAGGCATTTCTGATACATGATGCACTTTCTTTTTTAGTTTAAAACGAGTGGAAAGACAGCAGAGCAGGCAAGACTTACATTTGGGTCCCAACCGGACGGACCGGGCGGATAGCCACGCCGATCCATGGTGCCTGAGAACGATGCGCTCACCAAATCTCGATCTTCTAACAAAAACCAGTCTAGGGTTTCAACTCAACTGGACCCTGAAACAACTGTGGAAGAGATTTTTGAAGAGTACAATGATAAGGACAATGAACAGTTGATGGCGTGGTCTGGGAAGGCAAAGATGGAGTTTGAAATCCTTGTAAGGGGTTGTAACATTAGCGCCAAAACCCCTCTGGCCCGTCGCGGATCAGCGCGAACCAGCTGTCTAATGCAGCGGACCAGCTTTGTTCTCGACTTGAGTTCGCCCCTGGACCTATCTGCACATCACACAAAAATCAACGCAGTTGCGCCAGAAGTGGGCCGCGAAGTTGCCGGCAATTCGCGAAACATTCGTGCATGCGTGACAATAGTGTACCCAAATTTCGTTTAATTTTGCCTGATCGGCTTTGATTTCCTTCGCTCGTGGGCACACTCCAAATGGCCCTGAGAACCACGTCAGTACACACTCGGGTCCACTTGTGTAGATGTAAATTGGTCCGCGCCTGTTTGCGCATGTCCATTGACCTGAAAATGAACCTACTACCTTAATCTTCCACGCCCTATACAGATCTCGCAACTAATGAGCAAAACCGTACGCGATCCTTCGCTTATCAAGTAACGATGAAGTTCGCGGATATCGTTATATGGAATCAAAACCAAGTTCCAACAATTTATTTTTACTTTATGAAAGCATCAACAAGAATAAAGATCTACCTGTATTACTTTTACAGTATCTGAAGGCTCAACAGCACAGGGCACTCGTGGTTAAAAGCCTTTTTTCCCGTTGATATTAGGAAAGGAGAAACACAAGCAATGGATGCCGCTTGTGACATTGTTCAACGAGCATCTGTTACTTCTGAAACTAACAATAAAAATTGGCCTTCTGCAACACTAAGACTATTTTCCAGCTGCTTGTAGCTGTTGCCCACCAACATTCTGCATTGCCAAGATGGTCACAACCAGCAGCTCTCGCAACCAGAGCTGCTGCCCAGTGCCCATTCACGTCATCGCCATTTCAACTGCTGCCACTGCTCTTGTTTTGACAGTGCTCACATCAACCCAACCAACCAACCAAGCAGCCAAGCACCTCCCATCCCGGACCACTCTACTCCGCCGCACCAATCTTCTTGAGTCAAAAGCTCTGTTCGAGCTCCACGCATGCACACTACTCCGCCGCGCCACTCTTCTTGGTTCGAAAACTCTGCCGGAGCTCACTGAATTTCTTGAAGCACTGCGCCTTGCTCTTGCCTGGCACCGCTGCTGCTATGCGGTCCCACCTGGTATGAAAGGGATCGGGGCGGGGCACACACGGTATGAGGGGCATGTGGGGCACGAGGGGTGGTTCGGTAATGCAACGAGCGTCTATCGAACACTGCGCCTTGCTGTTCCCCAGCACCGCTGCTGCTATGTGGTCCCACCTGGCAAACAGGCATGAGGGGGCACACGGGGTGTGAGGAACACGAGGGGTGTGAGGAACACGAGGGGTGTGAGGAACACGAGGGGTGTGAGGAACACGAGGGGTGTGGACAGGCATGAGACGCATGGATGCGGGCATGAGGGGCAGACTAGTAAAGTGTTGGAGAGGGGGAGAGGGAGTGGGGGGCAAGGAGAGGAGGAGGAGGAGGAGGAGGAGGAGGAGGAGGAGGAGGAGGAGGAGGAGGAGGAGGAGGAGGAGGAAACTCAAAACAATGAAAGGGCGAAGGGGGAAGGAGGAGGATGGAAGGGAGAGAAAGGGAGACGAGAATACTGGGAAGAAGAGAGAGGAAAGGGAAGGATATCGAGAGAGAAGCAAGGGAGCGAGCGAGGGAGAGAGACGACAAAGAGGACGAACCAAGCGAGCTCTCACCGTTTCTCCGTATCCTTGGGAAAGGCTTTAAGTGCCTTCACCTGCTCACTCTTTGAGGTGCCTCACTCTTTAAGGCAAGCGAGCTCTCACTCACCGTTTATCAGTGTCCTTGGGGAAGGCTTTGAGTGCCTTCACCAGCGCCACCTCCTGAGCCTCGCCCCACACATCCACTGCCCCTTCTGCCCCAGCACCTGCTGCACCAGATGCACCCGCACTAGCAGCACCTGCCCCAGCAGCCACGCCATTTGCAGCACCTGCTGATTCCCCCTCCTGCGCGTCCTTTGTCCCGGTACTGGCCCCTTTGCCTGCTGCCCCCACTCCATTCGCCACTGGCGCTGCTGCTGCTGCTTTTGCCCCTGCTTGTTTCCCTGCTCCTGCTGCTGGTGTTGCTGCTGGTGCTGCTCCTGATGCTGCTGCTGCTCCTCCTGCTCCTGCTGCTTTAGCTGGTGAATTCGCCGAGGCGGGAACTGCAGGGGTGGCAGCACCAGCAGCAGCAGCACCAGCGGCAGCAGCAGGAGCCGCAGCGGCAGCATCAAGCTCCTCACGTGTGGAGAGAGGCGACGCAATGTCCTTGGGGTTCTTGCGACGCTGCTTGGGGAAGAAGGGGTGGGAGTGGGAGGACTGAGATGATCATTGAAACGTCTAAACAAGGTGCCATCTAAAAGGGATGCGAGTGGTGAGAGGCGCCGCAATGTCCTTGGGGTTCTTGCGACGCTGCTTGGGGAAGAAGGGGTGGGAGTGGGAGGACTGAGATGATCATTGAAACGTCTAAACAAGGTGCCATCTAAAAGGGATGCGAGTGGTGAGAGGCGCCGCAATGTCCTTGGGGTTCTTGCGCCGTTGTTGGGGGAAGGGGGAGGTGGGTGTGGGAGGAAGGGAGCGAATCGAGTGGACGAGAATGAACACGAGGGTCCAACATTTATACCCCAAACTCTAACCATAAATCCCAATCTCCAAACCTCCAATCTCCAATCCCCAGGCCCCTCAATCTCCAAAATTAAACCCGAAACCCTTACACCTGAACCATTAAACCCCAACACGGATCCACAACCTCCATCCAACCCTTGACCCCTTTACACCTACCCACCAGCAGGAAGCCAGCTAGGTGACCCACCTACCCCTCAACCGCCTTGCTGTCGTCCAGCTAGGTGACCCGCCCCACATCCCTTTGCCTCACCCAACCCGCACCGCAACCCCCCAAACCCCAATCCTTCAAAACGCCCACCCACCTGCAGGAAGCTGTCAAACGCCTTGGTGTCGTCCGGCTTCTGCAGCAGCACCGTCTTGGTGGCCCGCACCACCTCCTCTGCCGACCGCCCCGTGCCTAAATACTCTCCTATCACCTCCCACCGCTGCCACTGTACCTCAATCCCCCAAACCCTAAACCAGCCCACCGCCTTCCTCAGCTTTCTTTCTGCCACACCTACCGCAACCACCAAACCTGGTCCCTAAACCCTTAACCTTAATCCCGAATCCTTAACCCCCACCCCACCCACCTGCAGGAAGCTGTCAAACGCCTTGGTGTCATCCGGCTTCTGCAGCAGCACCGTCTTGGTGGCCCGCACCACCTCCTCTGCCGACCGCCCCGTGCCCAGATACGCCCCTATCACCTCCCACCGCTGCCCCGTGCCCTTGGGAAACTTCCCCACCGCCTTCCTCAGCAGCTCTATCTCTTCCCTCGTCCACGGCTTCCCACTCCCCCCTGCCGCCCTTCTCGCCTCTCTCTCTTTCTCTGCCTCCGCTTCTCGCTCCGCTGCTGCTGCCGCTGCCGCCGCTGCCGCAGCTTCGGAGAGAACCATGGGGATTTGCTGGTACTCAAAGTCCGGACTGTGCCCGTCCCACCGGTTGACTTTCAGAGCTGTGGAGAACAGTCGGAGGGTTTTCCGCTTCACTGCTGCAGCGTCAGCAGAGGCGGTAGAAGCGGACAAGGATTCTAGCTTTTCGCAGAGCACTCGCAGCTTCTCCAACTCCAGACCCTGCCCTAGACTCTCCAACTCCTCTTCTGTTATCGGCGTCTCCCACTCCTCTCCCTTCTGCTTCTCCTGCTGCTGCTGTTTTCTTTGCTTACTGGTTACCGCAGGCGCGGCTTCAAGGCAATCCGTTGTCGCCGCTCTCAGCCTCGCCCGCTCTTTCCTCGCTGCCTTCTTGTCCTTCTCCCTCTGCTTCTTAACCACTGCTGCCTCCTCCGCCGCCCGCTTCTCCTCCTCCTCCTTTCTCTTCCTCTCCTCCTCCACCTTCCTCTTCCCCTCATCCTCCTTCGCCTGCCTCTCCCGCTGCTTCTCCTCCTTCTTCCGCTGCTTTGCCATTTTCTCCTCCTCCTTCCTCCTCAGAATCCGCGGGTCTTGCTTATAAGCATTCTCCGCCAACTGCCTTATCCTCGCACTCTCCTCCTTCTTCGCTTTCTCCCTAAGCTTCGCATTCTGCCGCTCCATCCACCTCCGATGCTCCCGATTCTCCGCACTCTCCACGTCATAATCATCCTCGTTAGGGAACTCCCTCCAGCTCTTAAACGCCCACCAGAAATCATAAAACTTATCCACCTCGGCAACCGGCGTGTTCTCGTCCCCTAAACTAGGAACCTCGGTCGGGCTAATCACCGACCACTTGGCATTCCGCTGGAAAGCCGGGCCGAAAATCTTAAAGAAATTCTCGGGGGAGCAATCACCCGGAATATCATCGTCAAATTCATCTGTAGAGTCGTACACTCGGCGCTTGGCCGGGTCTGATAGGACCTCGTAGGCCAGCTGGATCGCTTTGAACTTGGTCTCGATCTCTTCCTTTTTGGCTGCCCGCGCCTCGTCTGTTTGCTCCTCCAGCAGCATTGCAGCCTGCTTGTCCGGGTGGAAGCGGAGTGCCGCATCTCTGGTGTGGTGGGGAAGGGGTGGGGCGATATGCGGTGCGACGGAATGACGGGAGATCGGTTAGAAGCTCAAACGTGCAGTATGGAAGGTAGAGGGGTTAAGCGAGGTTTGGGGTCAAGGGGTTCCGAGGTTTAAGGTTAGGGGGTTGTGGCGTTCCATGGTCAAGGGCGTTAGGAGGAACAAAAGGATCAGGGAGCATAAAGGAGTGAGGAGAATTATGTAGAACGAGGCGGAACTGGAGGGGGGAAATGGGGGCGAACGAGAACAAAGTCTTCAGGGGGCAAGGGGGCGAGGCTAGTTCGAATAAGGAGTCGACGGAGATGAGGTCAGGGAAAAGACGGCGGAGAAAATTCTCTGGGGTTTTGGAGGAATAAGAGAGCAAGAACGTCTGGTATTTTCCGTTTCTAACAGCTTACTGGATCATCTAACGAGGAAGCGCGGCAGTGTTCGAGACAGATAGAGGTCCCTCAGCGGACAGAGCATGACAGCACGTTAACGGCTGGATTCAGAATCGGTTAATAAGTAACGGCTGGATGAATTTGTGATCGCATCCTCAACCTCATGTGTTTGATCCATGACTCTCACCTCTACGCTCCATCGAACGGGAAACGGCACCCTTACTCCAGGATCTCTCCTTCCCCCTCGCTGTCCCACCAACGCCCAACGAGCCACCCCTTCAAATATCATACATCTCACCTCTCGTAATCTTGAATTTTGCGCTTTGTATAGAACCTCCCGCACGGCAGTTGCTTTAGAGAGATCTTAAAGCCAACCCTGTAGTCTCCTGGGCTGATCCTTTCTCGAAAGAGACCTCAAAACCCCGAACCCTAGCGACGCGGACTGAGTTTTCCCCGTATTACTGCACGCGGCCTCGACCGTACAATACTTGTCACGCATCTGTTGCTCTCACCCAGCTCGCCTCAGCGCTCCCATATAAAGGTTTCTATGACCTCTTTTGAGGCGCCTCAAAAGCCAGCTCGCCTCAATGCTCTCGAATTAAGGTTTATATGACCTCACTCACCGATAGGCCTTCTTGAGCCGATGCGCCGTCGCGAGATGCCGCAGGTGCGCCAGTCCCAGCAGCGCGTACCAAGCCGTTTCATATCTCACTGAACCACTCTCAACGTTTCTCGTTTCCGTAATCGCACTCACCGGTACGCCTTCTTGAGCTGATCCTTCGTCGCGAGATGTCGCAGGCGAGTCAACCCAGCAACGCGAACCAAGCCGTTGTATCTCACTGAACCATTCTGTTCGTTTCGGTGCGGGCACTCACCGGTACGCTGATCTTCGTAAGTTGATCTTCTGTCGCCAGATACCGCAGGTGCGCCAACCAGCAGTGCGTACTGAGACCTTCCGTATCTCTCCACTTTTTCCCTCCAACTTACAGAATCGATCACGACATGCGTCCGTAATCGCACTCACCGGTACGCCTTCTTAAGCTGGTCGTCTGTCGCCAAGAAACACAGGTGCGCCATGCCCAGCAGAGAGTAGTGAACCGTTCCGTATCTCTCCAGATTCTCTCTCCACTCACCGGTACGCCTTCTTAAGCTGGTCTTCTGTAGCCAAGAAACGCAGGTGCGCCATGCCCAGCAGAGCGTAGTGGTCCTGCTCCTGCTTCTCCGCGTCCTTCCCATCCTTCCCCTTCTTCTTCTTCCGCGAGCTTTCCCACGCCGACGAATCGACTGAGTCCTTCACCTTCTCGCCCTTCCCCTCGTCCGCCTCCTCCGCATCTTCCTCCCCCGCCGCGTGGAATCCCGCCAATCGCTTCGCAGCTTCGTGGAAGGAGAGCCCTGCCGGCTCGTATCGAGTGTACTTATAAAGAGGCGCTGGGCTGCTCACTACGAGCGGATCGCCGCCGGGCGGCAGGTCGTGTGGGTGGTAGGTGATTAAAAGGCGCGTCGTTGTAACGGAGACCGCAGCGACTGTGGCGCCGCTGGCGCTTGTAGGCGGGGGCATGGTGACGAATCAGATCCGATCAGGATCGAATCGAACCTCGAGGGTCAATCTGCGAAAATCAATTCCTAGGGCCGAATCTGCAAAAAGAAAGAAAGACGATGTTGATCTCGATCCGCAAAAGAGCGAATACTCGTGCGCCGCGCCCGCTGACGCGTGCCGGTTCGTGCGGCAAGGCGGTGGCGGATCAAAGGCCACGATTCAAAAATCGGGCTGATCAGCAGCAAGTAGAAAGGAGAAACAAAGCGATGGGAGGTACCAAGTGCGAGTGATAAGAGTTGATCAAGTAAAGTTGGGGCCACGATTTGAGCCACACATCAGTGGGGGCAAGTTTGAAGCTGCTGTGCGCTAATCCCCAGCTGAGGTTTTGGTGGGAGGTTGAGGAAGAGGGTTGAGGGGTTGCGTTTGTGGGTGCGAGGGGCTGAGAGTTTCCTAGCCCTTGGTTTTGCCGAGCCGACGCCTGGTGATTGGCTGTTCGGATTGTCGCTTGTATGAGCTGGAGCAATTTCTGGGCAAAGAATTGGATTTCGGTGACTCGTAGCTTCAGAAATCAAACAGGTGTACTTGTGCAAGTCAGCCCTGGGCCCTACAATCGAGTACAGGTTGTGGCTACCATATTCGCTCGGTTCAGCCGCCAGGGCTACACTTCGCTTTCGCCAAACTACCCAAAAGTTCAAATTTCCAGGCTGCAAGGGGAAGAGCGGGAAGGAGCATCCAGATAATTCTCTGGTGCAGACGGATCTTGGAAACGAAACTAGTCCCTGATCAGCCTTGTTCATTTGGTCCTGATGCCTTGGTCGGGTCGGGACTGACCAGCCATTTAGGGGCTTGCTACTTGTCACGGCGTAGTCCGAGCCGACGACCTAGTCCGACGCGCTAGTGCCGATGCGGTTTTAAATCTAAGGAGAAACAAAAAGGTAAACCTGACGACGACATTTGAGCTTGATGTTTTGGTGTGCTGGTGGTTTCCAGCTACTTGTTCTGAGCTTCGGATTGCCTGGTTTTCCTGGCCGAGCGAGCCGATGATCAATTCGCCTAAGAATCGCACCGCTTTGTCTAACATTCGCGTCCGTTCGCAATCAGGAGCCTCAATATCAGCGTCGCTTTACGCTCGCCTTGCGATCAGTCATAAACAATTTTGGGATCTCAGCGCCAAGTAACTGTCAACAAGAGGGTTAATTCAGAAATTAAACCCAGTCTCAGTCAGACCTAACGCAGCCAGCACGTAACGGTCATCTGTAGCCATGGAGACTCGGATCTTCGGCATTCAGGACGCATGGCGGGAATTTACCGTCCCTCACGCGACGCGAACCACTCCGAGTGCGAGCTCAGCCCAAAGCCCTAGCGTAGCATTGCATCCCGACGCACTGACGTGTCTTGGCGGGGGGTCGGTGCTTCAGACTCGAGGAGAAGATTCCGTTCAACCAAGTCAGCGCTTGCTGACGTGGCAGATCCGATCCGAAATCCGCCAGTCGCATTCCCTTCTTATTTTGAAAGAGCTGTTTCCGAATTCGTCCTTCCCCGCGTCTAAGCCCGCTCCGCTCGTTACAGGAACATCCGCGGCTGCGGTCGCTCGCCAGTTCTCTCAACGGCAGGGATCGCACGAGGTGCATCTACGGTTCCCCTCGCCGCTTCTCCCGCTCGCAGCCTTGGTCGTCGAGCGCAATCCCGAGAGTGCCGACGACGGGGATTTTAGCGAGGATGCCTATAACGAGGATGACGACGATGACGAGGATGGCGATGGGCTCGAATCGGGATTCTCTCGCGTGTCGCTGTATCTGCTGTCCGCAGATGGCGTGATCTACTCCGTAGACCTAGGGTTTGGCGGGCTTGACAGCCATAGTAGCGCATTGAACGATGCCAGCGGCTTAGGGTTTCGCCTAAACGGTGCTTCCAGGTTCGACACCAGGCCTGGCGGCGGTACGGGAACAAAACCCTCCGAATCTTCCCTCCTTGGTAACTTCTCCCTCAGCTGCTTGCGCTCGTTTCAGCTCCCGCCGAACCTCGTCTCTAGGCTCGGTAGCGGTGTGACGTCACTAGCAGCCGGCCAGGACACGGTATGCCTCGGCGGAGGTTCGGGTAGCGTTCTCGCCGTTCCGTTCCACAAACTCGCCAACCCTGTTGTGGCTGTAACGGGTGGCGCTATAAAGAGGGAAGCGTCTGGCGGAGCGGGGGTGGCGGAGTTGCGGGAGGGCGAGGGCGCAATGGCGCGCCTGTGGGGGATGGTAGGCGCAGGCAGGGGCGCGGCTCTCGCCCCTGTGCGGTCCATTCAGCTGCTGACGCATGGCGGGCAGGGATTGGCTGCGGTTGCGCACGCAGATGGCGTGGTGAGGGTGTGGGATGTTTCGAGGAAGGTTCGCGTGGCGACGGTGACGGTGGCGGCGGAGTGGGGGCCGGGCGGAGCTGCGGCTGCTGCGGGCGCGGGTCAGGCAGGGGGGAGCCGTGACGGTGAGTTGCGTTCGAGCTTAGCGCTTTGAACCTCCCTTGCTTGCGCCACGTGCTTGCTCGTATCTTACGCTCTCCACTTCCACTCTCTCGTTCTCGCCTTTCGCCCTCCACTGTACCACCCCTAACCTGCTTATCCCCTCACGACTCCCTCTCCCCCACCACCTCACCCCCCCTCCCCCCCTTTCTCCCCCTTCCGAACTCTCCCCCCACTCTTCTCCCCCTCTCCCTCTCCCCTCACCCTCCCCCTCTCCCCTCACTCTCCCTCTCTCCCCTCTCTCTCCTCTCCCCCTCCCCCTCCCCCTCCCCCTCACACTCCCTCTCCCCCTCCCCCTCCAGGCGCATGGGCCGTCCAGCAGATCCTTCTGCGCCCCGCGCCTGGCCCCACTCGCTCCGCGACCACCACCACGAGCGCAGCTGCTGCCACCCAGTCTCTACTGGTCATTACCACTTGGTGCCCCCAGCAGCAGCAGCAGGGCAGGCAAGAGAGCAGGCAGCAGCACGCGGAGATGTCCCCCTCCCCTGCTGGTCTCATCACCGTTCACTCCCTCCGTCTCCGCGTTCCCCCTGACCCCGCGCGCGCCTCCGCCTCCGCCTCCGCGTCCGCCTCGCTCCGCCTGGCCGCCTGGAGCGCGCTGCCCCGCGCGCCCACGGCGCGCAGCTGTGACTATGGCGCGTGGGACGGTGACAGCAGAGGGGAAGGGGACGAGAGGGGTGGGGGTGAGAGGGGGGCGGGGGCGGGCGGGGCACGGCCAGCAGCTGGCACCCAGGGAGAGGATGAGCACGAGCAGCAGGCGGGGGAGCGAGCGGGGGATGAGGGGGAAGGGGAGGGTCAGGGGTTGTGGATCAGAGACGTCCGCGTGCTGCTCGCTGCCGGTGCTGGTGGTGGGGGGCGGAGGGGCAGAGGGGGCGGAGAAGGGGCGGGCGGTGGGAAAGAGGTGGACGTGTGGATGCTGCTGCAGGAAGGGCGTGAAGGCACAGGCACAGGAACAGTCACATCAGGCGCATCAGCGAAGCGCCATACTGTCTGTCTACCTGTGCGCTGTGTGCCCTTCGACAGCAATGCCACTGCCACTGCCGCTGCCACTGCTGCACGGGACGCAACAGCAGCGGTGGCATCTTCTCAGCAGCTTCTGCCCCTTCCTCCGTCCCCACTGTACGCACCAATCAGCGCCTGCCAGCTGGCGGAGCAGCAGCTATCAGCGTCACTGGGCCTCTCAGACCCGACCCTCCACCAGTTCGTCTCCCCTCCGCCTGTACCCGCCTCGTCAGCCAGCGGGCCAGCAGGAGCAACCGCTTCTGCACCTGCTACAGCCGCAACAGCCGTGACAGCCAGTGCGTTTGCTGATATGGGCAGCAGGGCGAACCTGGTGTCGGCCTTGGGCGTCGTTCCCTTCCTTGAGCTCTCCCCTGTCCTCTGTGCCGCACCCAGCAGTTCCCCTGCAGGGGAAGGAGACGGCGGCTCACTGACAGCAGGAGGACCAGGAGGAGGAGCAGGAGCAGGAGCAGGAGCAGAAGGGACAGGAGGGGCAGGTGGTGCAGTGAGTTGGAGCGCTGTAACTGAGTTTTGTGCTGACGCTCTCGTTGCTCGTCTGCTCTGCCCGTCTGCTCTGCTCGAGCCTGCGTTAGCCCATCTGCTCGCTTGGTTACAGCACCACCACCGCCATTACCACCACCCGCACCAGCAACAGGAACAGCAGTTTTTCCCATATGAGGGACAAAGGAATGGGACGTTCGGATCATCCAACCCTGCAGAAGTGGCTCGGATGAGTCACGATGTGGTTCAGCAGACTCTTCTCTCCTACCTCTTGGACCGCCGGCCGGACCTGCAGGTGCTGCCGAGCCTCCTGGGCAGCTCCGGGGGCGAGCCGGCCGATCTGGTTCGGCTGGTGGATCGGTGGGAACACTTGGCAAAGCAATACCTTCGAGCCTGGACTGCCGTAAACACACCCGTAGGGCTGATTGCAACCGCCGGTTCAGGTCCAGGCTCGGGGGCAGGTTCGGGCGCTGGGGCTATTGGTCTGGTTCGGGGATGCACAGTGTCTCTGGTGCAATCACCGGACGTATCAATGCAGATAAACCTGTGGAGCACTGCCGTACCTGCAGCAGTGAGCGCACCAGGGTTTGCAGCTGCAGTGTCTGCAGCAACACCCACAGGAACGCCCACAGCAATGCCCGGAATGCCCACGGGAATGCCTATTGCAGGGTCTGCAGGTGCAGGTGCAGCATGTGGGGAGCGAGGCAGCTTGGGAGGCAATCCGCCTCTCCTTTCACCCAGCGTGGTTCGTTCCCTGGCCTCCGTAAGACCAGGTTCAGCCGGGCCAGGTTCGGGCAGGCTGAACGCGGGCAGCCAAGGAACCCGGCAGCCAATGGAGGAGCGCCAGCTGGCGGCGGTGTTGGGAGAGCTTGCCAGCTGTCTGGAGCTGATTCGCGGGCGAGTGGGTAGGCTGGTCATGCTGGCGCTGCCCGCGTGTCTCCTCTCGCCCTCCCTGCAGCCTGCTGATGCCTTTGCACACGTGGCAAAGTTTTTGGAGTTCGGGCAGCTGGCGCCGGGCAGCTCGGGCAGCGTGAACAGGTTGCGGTCGGCTGCCCGGGAATTTGTTTCCCAGCAGAACACGGAGCAGAGGGTGTTTGCAGTGAAGCTTCAAGCTGCCCTCGGGAATTTGAGAGACGCAGCAGGAGGGAAGTGGGGGGGTGTTCTCGAGATAGTGGAGCTGCTTGTAACGAGTATGGATCTGGGTACGCTTTCAGAAGGTGCATCCGCCTCCTGTGGGTCCCAAGGTGCAGCATCAACAGCAGCAGCAGCAGCGGAAGGGCAGAATGGGAGTGGGGAGATTGATGATCTACCAATCAGCACCCTCCTCCCCCCCTCCCTCTTCTCTCCCCTAGAGCTTTCCCACGGTCTCACCCTCTTGCTAGGCTCCCACCTCCACCTCCTCCTCTCCCTCCTCCCCCTCCTCCACTTCCTCCACCTCTCCCGCTCCCCATTCCTCCTCTCCCCCTCAGACCGCTCCTTTCTCTCTCGCCGCCTGCTGCCCCGCACTCACTCCCTCCTCTCCTCCACCCTCCTCCTCCACACTCTCTCTGACTCCTTCGCTGCTCGAAGCCCAGAGGATGATTTCTCTGTGGATCTCCTCTCGCTGCATATTGGCGGGAAAGGCGTTGCTGACGTGGACGGCGTTGCCGACGTGGCTGTGGGGGACACTCGGGGGTCTGGGAGGTGGGTGCGGCAGGGTGGGGGAGGGGGAGGCGGTTTAGGGTTTGGCAGCGGGAGGAGAGGAGGGATGGGGGAATGGGGAACAGGGGCAGGGGCAGGGGCGGAAGGGGACTTTCTTGGAAGGTTCTGCAGGCGAGAGGTGCAGTTTCGGTGGGCTAGGCGGACAGTTGTCGCTGTTTTATTGGACGGGGAGGGGGAGGAGGAGAGGGAAGGGGGAGGAGAAGGAGGCGCAGGAGGGGGTAGGGGCGGAGGCAGTGTGTTGTGGGGAAGGTGGCGGGGGTGGTGGCTGCACGGGAGCGCATCAGAAGAAGACAAGTCCTTTCCAGCTAATGGGGACTCTGATGGGCCCGAAAGCGAGGGAGAAGGGGAGGAGAGTAGCGATGAGGAGATGGAGGGAGGGGAGGACGGGGGTGGACTGGAAGGCAGGGGAGGAATCGGGGGAGCGGTGGGGGGGTGGCGGTGTGCGAGTGTGAGTGGGGAGGGGCTGCTGTGTGAAGTGATGAGTGAAGCCGTGCGCCTGCGGTGGGGGCGCGACCCCTGGCAGACTGAAGGGCGCGTAGGAGGGGGAGACGTTGGGGGAGGGCAGGGCGGGGCGGGGGCAATGGGGATGGGAGCGCCGAGCTTCCTCCATCGTGCCGTGCACATGGGGCTGCGGCTGTTGGAGCAGAGCCAGTACCACATGGTGAAGGTGAGCGCCCGAGGGGGTTAAGTCAAGTACACTGGTGCTGGAACACACATGCTGTGCTGTTCCTTGTGTAGACTGACCGCCCGCATGGGGCTGAGGTTGCTGCCGCACAGGCATCACCACATTGTGAAGGTGGGCGCGCAGGAGGGTCAAGCTCAAGAAGAGCGCCCAGGGTTCAGGTCTGCTGGGGTTTAGGGTTTAGGGTACCCGGGGTTTCAAGCTACAGGGTCAAGGGGTGCAGGATGCTGTGGTGGTTGGTCTCCTGAATCCACACTCTGGTGAATGCATTACATGTGCCTGTCTACTGCTGTCTTTTGGCCCCCTCTGTTTGTCTCCTGGCCATCCTTTCCCCCTCCTGCCACCTCCTTCCCTGATCCCCCTGCCGCTCTGGTCCTCTTGGACTGTGTCGATTGCCAGGCACATTAAATCCGCGAGGCACATTAAATCCGCGAGGCACATTAAATCCTCGAGGCACATTAAATCCGCGAGGCACATTAATTCCGCGAGGCACATTAAATCCGCGAGGCACATTAAATCCGCGAGGCACATTAAATCCGCGAGGCACATTAAATCCGCGAGGCACATTAAATCCGCGAGGCACATTAAATCCGCGAGGCACATTAAATCCGCGAGGCACATTAAATCCGCGAGGCACATTAAATCCGCGAGGCACATTAAATCCGCGAGGCACATTAATTCCGCGAGGCACATTAAATCCGCGAGGCACATTAAATCCGCGAGGCACATTAAATCCGCGAGGCACATTAAATCCGCGGGACATTAAATCCATGTGAATTGACGAGTTTTCAGGCGCCCCAAATATCTCCCTCCCCTCCCTCCTCCACCTCCCCACCCCTCCCCTTCCCCCATCCGCTCAGCTCCTCTTGGACTGTGTCGATCGCGACGCACACTTCTCCAACAACCCCTTAGCCCTTCCCCGAACCAACGCTTCTGGTTCGGCCGAACCTGAAGCTTCGGCAGCACGCTCCTTCCTTCTCGGCTTTGCCCTGGTTGCCTGCGCACACGTCCCTGCTGACCTCCCCACTTGGTTTCAACTAAGCGCCGCCATAGGCGGCAGCATTAGCCAGCTAAGTGCTGGTGGGAGCAGCAAGGGGCAGGGTGTGTTCTTAGCAGCAGGGGAGGGCAGAGGGCGTGAGGCAGCTGCAAGGGAGGCCATGCGGGCAGCACTGGTGGATCGGGCAGTGAAATGTTTCTTCCGGGCAGCGGAAGGAGTGGGATCATGGGCAGCAGGAGCTGGTAACGGTGAGGGAGGGGAAGGGGGGGCAGGCATGGGAGCAGGTGGGAACCCACTGCAAGGCCTACTGGAGATGTTCAGTGGCAGCGCAAACAACAGTGTGGGGAGCAACACTGGTACAGTAGGAGCAGCAGCCGTACAACCCGTAGCAGGTGTTGCAGCAGAAGCAGCGGCAGCAGCAGCAGGGGCAGCAGTGGAGGCTCGGCAGAGGGTGCGGTACTACGAGGCGGTGATGCGGCTGCTGCAGCGCTACAGCGAGGGGCCCTCCGCCGCCCGCTTCGCCCTCGCCGCCATCCACGAGACCGACGCCGCCTTTCCGGAAGCTTCCCACGGCGAACGCGACGAGGAGCGGCACTCGCAAGCAGCGGCAGTGGCAGCAGAGGAAGCGGGAGCAGAGGGAGCGGGAGCGGGGGCAGGTGGGGAGGTGGTGAGGGGGGTGAAGGGGCGGCTGTGGGCGAATGTGTTTGAGTATGCGGTGCAGGGCGGGCAGTATGATGAGGCGTTCTGTGCTCTCGCCTCCAACCCCGACCCGCTCACCCGCAGCATCTGCCTTCGCCAGTTTGTTGCCGTGCTCTGTGACACCGCCAGCTCTGCTGTAGCTGCCGCCGCTACAGCCGCCGGTAGAACCGCCGCAGTGCAATCAGGACCATCGGCAGCATTGGGTGCAGCGGAAGCAGCAGCAGTGGCAGAGGCAGAGAGGGCAGGGAGGGCGTTGTCAACTCTCTGTGGCCTCGATCTGCCTTATGCTGCTGCTGACCTGCACGTACAGGTGGAGCAGGAGCTGATGTGGCTCGCTGAGAACTCTGACGTGGCGCTGTCGCTGCCGCTGTCCACGTCGGTGTCGTCGGCGGCTGCCACGTCAGCGTCGGCGTTGGGCAGGGTGAGCCCGTATAAGCTGCTGTACTCGTTCCACGTGGCGCGATCTGATTGGAGGAAAGCTGCGCTGGCCATGTACCGATATTCGTGGCGACTAGGCAGGGAAGTCTTGGGCTCAAGCAGTGGCAGTACAAGCAGCAACCGCACTGCACCCATTCCCACTCCTGCTTCTGCAGATAAAAGGGGGAAGCAGGGCATGAGTCCTGGATTCCACCAGCCTAGTCCTGGGAGGGTGTTCAGTCCGGTGGTGAAGAGAAGTCCGGGGATGACGCTGGGTGCAGAGAGAATCCCCGAGGTGAAGCTGAGTGCAGTGCGGTTGAGAGAGATGAGCCTGGCTGTGGCTATCCAGGTGCTGGAGCTGATGGTGGTGGGGGGAGAGGGGCTGGGAGCTGGAGGAGAGGGGCTGAGGGGAGGGGGAAAGGGGAAGGGTGTGGGAAGGGGGAGTGAGAGCGTGGGTGTGGAGGAGGGAAGTGGCGGGGTGGGAGGTGAGGGGGGATGGGGAGAGGAGGAGGAGAGGGAGAGGCAGGAAGCATGGCTGCCACCAATGGTCTCAGTTTTCCCTCACAGGGGCGCTGCTGCTGATGCTGATGCTTTTGGTGATGCTGATGCTGGTGGTTATGGTGCTGGTGGTGTTGGTGTTGGTAGTGGTGGGAGGGACGGGTTGAGGGAGGATGGGAGGATGGGTGAGAATGGGCGGAAGCGAGGCGAGGGAGGGTTCTGGAGAGAGGCGAGTCCAGCCAAAAGAGGGAGGTGGGGAGGAGGGACAGGTGGCGGCGCGTCATTGGGCTGCGGCACGGAGCCGGTGGGGCTGGAGGATCTGCGGAGGGAGCATGCGCTGGTGGCCGCCCAATCACTGCTCGCCACATGTCCTGGGACCACGGCAGCGCTGCTGGGTAAGAGAGCATTCTTAAACCGAGTGGGCTAAAGTGGGTAAAATAGGGTATAAGTGGGTAATAGTGGATAAAAGTGGGTAAGAGTATGTGAGAGTGGGTAAGAGTATGTGAGAGTGGGTGAGACTGAGTAAGAGTGGGTAAGAGTGGGTAAGTAGAGTGGACGACGGGAGTGCTCCATATGCGCAGTCTTGTTGTGCAACAAGTACACCAATGTTAGGTCCCACGGGTCCTCTCTCTTCCCCTATGAGTGAGGACCCGTGGGACGTCACCTCACATCCATATGCGCAGTCTTGTTGTGCAACACGTACACAAATGGTAAGTACAGGGAGTAGCCTTTCAAAGACGTGGAATGACTTTTGAGTTGACTCAAAGTCATCACTTAGGGTGTACCGTACCATGTACGAGGGCATTTAGGGTAAGCACAGGGAGGTGGATTTGAGAGCATGCGGATTTGGATGTATTTCAATGCGCCTCAAAATACACCTCACTGCTCGAGTGCATTTAGGGTGAGTATAGTGAGGTGGTTGATGCGCATGTGGAGTGATTTGATGCAGCTCTTTCTCCCATGCCTGCCGGCATTTCTCCCAGCCTTGAGAGTGTGCCGCTTCAGGTTGAGGAAAGTTATCCGCTTTTCTAGTTGTGCTGGAATTGAGTGGCGGCTCCCCGGAAAGAAAAGAAAAAAGGTCAAATGATTGACGTTCAGCGTCCATCCCATCCCCCCTACCAGCGTCAGACGCCTCACCACAGCAAGTCATATTTGTTCGATTGAGTCTAGCAGCCATGGCTAGGAAGAGTAGATGTAGTTCTCAGCAAGAAGTGTCGAGATACGTTTGAGGAAGAAGGTCGACAACCTAAATGAACGTAGGGTGCGTTTGGTCAAGGAACAAGCCTCAAAATGAATCTAAACTGAACCTGAACTGAAACAAAGTATAATATAAGGCCAGAACAGATACAGAGCTAAGACTAGCCTACTCACAATTGTGGTCTGCGCTCACAACACCCTCTGTATAATCTGCCAATCTTCCCTCTGCCCCCCTCTCCCTCGCCCTCCCCCATATCAGCGTCAGACGCCCCACCGCAGCACATCATTTAGACTGCAGTCTCAAATCCCTCTTCCCACACGTGCTTTGTATAATATGCCACCCCTTTCCCTTTGTCCCCGCTTCCCCTCCCCCTATCAGCGTCAGACGCCCCACCACAGCACATCATATCAGCCTGCGCCCACAATGCCCTCTTCCCCCAAGCTCTCCACCTCGCCACTCTCTTCTTCTCGGGCAGCCAGCGGGCAGCTGAACTTTCCGCAATTCTTTCAGCAGCTGCCCGACGCTGCTGCATGACCCAGCTCGGGCTGTCTCTTGCAGCTGCCCGGGATCCTGCAGCTTCTGCTGCCACGTCAGCTGCTTCCAGTGCCACTGCTGGTGACATGGCAAGCTCCCCGGTGCTGATGTGGCAGCAGATGCAGGTTTGGACTGAGACATACGTTCGGCACCATCCGAACCTCCGTGAGGTTGTAGCCCGAGCCATATTAGGCACCAACCCTGCTCTCCCCTTACCTCCATGGCTCATCCGTCTCTTCCTGGAAGGTTCCTCCTCCCTCTCCCCAATTCCCCCCTCCTCCTCAACTCCCCTTCCCTTCGCCCCCGCCCCCTCCTCTCTCTCATCGCCCTCCTTCCTCGCACCGCTCTCCACCCCTTTCAACCCATCTATCGCCCCTCCCATCGTTCCGGACCCCTCATCACTCCTGCGAGTCTACCTGGACTTCAATCATCTCATCCAAGCGTCCCGATTGGCTCTCTCCATGCTCCGCGCGTGGAGAGCCGTCCGATCGGCCGATCCGCGCACGGCGAAGCAACGGATGGGCGCCACGTGGCAGCCACACGCCCTGCTGGACCGGCTGAGGCTACAGCTGGCAGCCGCTGCTGCTGCTGCTGTGGGCGAGCTCGGGGGGGAGCAAGGGAGGGGGGCGAGTGGCAGAGGATGTGGGGGTGGTAGAGAAGGGGTGAGTGTGAGTGGGAGTGAGTATGAGGTTGTGTGTGCGATGCGGGAGGAGGTGGAGGCGGCAGTGAGGGCGTATCTGGGGCAGGTAGATCTGGATGGGGAGGACTTCAGGCAGGTGGCAACTGGAGGGGCAGGGTGCGCTGGTAAGGGGTCAAGGGCAGTGGGGTTGGGAGCAGAGGGAGAAGGGGGAGCAGTAGCCGGGGCAGCAGGGGCAGCAGGGGCAGCAGGGGCAGCAGGGGCAGCAGGGGCAGCGGGGGCAGCAGGGGCAGCAGGAGCAGCAGGGGCAGGAGGCAGAGTGCAAACAGCAGCATTCGGAGCAACGCCAACTATGGGGTCAGCTCCTTTTGGGTCAGCACCAGCATTTGGCTCAGCAGCAGCTTTTGGAGCTAAATTAGCACAAGCAGGAGCAGCTTCAAGCACACAGGCAGGGGGAGGAGGAGGATTAGCAGAAGGTGCAGGCACGGGAGCAGCAGCGGGGAGTGTGTTTGGGAGGCTGGGAGCGGGGTTTGGATCGCCTCATGCTTCCCCACCTCCTGCTGCCCCCTCGGCTGCTTCACCTTATGCTGCCCCTGCTGCTGCCCCGTCTGCTGCCCCTCTATTTGGTGGGGCAGCCAATACTTTTGGTGGGGCAGGCAGTACTTTTGGTGGGGCAGGCAATACTTTTGGTGGGGCAGGCAATACTTTTGGTGGGACAGGCAACTCTTTTGGTGTAAGAGATGCTGGTGAGAAAAACACAGGAGCAATCGATGGTGGGGGGAAGGCTGCTGGTGCTGCTGGTGGTGCTGCTGCGGCTGTGGGGCTTGGGTCGAGTGGAGGAGGTCTTGGGTTAAGAAGTGGGGGGTTTGGGGGAGGGGCAGGAAAAACTGAGGGGGCAAGTGGGGGAGGGGGACAAGGAACAGGGTTTGGTGGGTTTGGAGTGACCACAGGAGGAGATTTTACAGCAGGAGGATTTGGGGCAGGCAGCGCCGGTTTTGGGGCAGGCACCAGTGGGATTGGGGTCGGTACTGGTGGTTTTGGGGCAGGTGGTGGTGGTTTCGGGGCAGGTGGTGGTGGTTTCGGGGCAGGTGGTGGTGGTTTCGGGGCAGGTGGTGGTGGTTTCGGGGCAGGTATCGGTAGCAGTGGGTTTGGGGCAGGTGGTGGTGGTTTTGGTGCGGGTAGTAGTGGGTTTGGGGCAGGTGGTGGTGGTTTTGGTGCGGGTAGTAGTGGGTTTGGGGCAGGTGGTGGTGGGTTTGGGGCAGGTGGTGGTGGGTTTGGGGCAGGTGGTGGTGGCTTTGGGGAAGGCTCTGTGGGGTTGGGCACAGCTGCTGGCGGCAGTTCAAGTGGGTTTGCTGGTGCGTTTGGAAGCACAGTGCACAAGTGAGCTTAAGTTTAGGCTGTAGTCTAGGGCTATGTGTGGTGTGGTCCTTTCCTTTTCACATGTAGGATTCAGGCCTCTGGATAGGATTTGGGGTACTCTTTCTCGTAAGGCCAACACCCAGCCTTCACTCTTTAGTATGGGTGCTTCACAAAAACTGCTCTTAAAAATCAGGGTGCAAACAAATCTAATCATTCATCTACTATTTTTACTCTCCATAGTATGGAGGATGTTGATGTGGCAGTTGTTGAGTCGTCGCAGTTATGAGGAGGACCTAAGTTCTATACCCAGCGCGGGCGTCCGATGCGAAAGATATGTTTTACGCAACCAATCCTGGTATCCTCTCTTAGATCGAACTCGATTTCATCAGTGCTACTACACCACATAGCTCTGAAATATCTGTGTCGTATAATCGATCACTTTTTTTTGTAAGGGTCTAAAACAAAACCAGTCTTGTAAAAAAAAGTGCTTAGTCAAACCCGCCCTTTTAGTAAGGGTCATAAGGGTGAATCACCCTGATATCGAGAGGCCTTGTTATGAGTTGTAAAAGAGAGTGCGCGGAATAACGAATGACGAAGATGTGACTCAATGAACTGACAATACAATGAAGGCACGCGCTAATATAGTGGGCCAACCTAGCTAGGCGGGAACACGAGGTTGGGTGCAGGTTGGGCAAAGGAAAGGCTGAAGGCGACGCGAGGTTGCTTCGGCAGCAAGCGAAGTGGCCGAACGTGCACTTCCGAAAGTTGGGGTTGTACGCGGTTGAGTAAACCACTGCAAGGAAAAGGGTTTTTCTTTACACTACCCCCCCCCCCCTTTAAGAAAGGTGGTCAATATCCGCAGCTCGCCTGCGGGCGAGGTAATCACCAAGAAGCGGAAGAGCTTCAAGCGAGGCGGATGGCACCCTAGTGTCGTCCTCACTGGTGCGGTCAGTCCAGCGGATTAAAAAATCCACGTGGCGTCCAGAAGCGTCGAGCCGAACACGATGCGCCAAAATCTTGGACGGGTCCAGCGTCAGTTCTGGGACAGGTCGGCCTGTCGGGGAGGCGTTCTGGCGCGCGATGTCTGTCGTGGCAGGCACGAACTTGCGAAGGAGGCTGACATGGAAGGCATCATGTATACGCCAATCGTCGGGTAGCAGCAGCTTCGCGGTGACAGGTGTCACCATCTTGATGATCTTGAAAGGCCCACAAAATCGTGGCCGTAGTTTCGATGGGCCGGGCAGGTGCAGGTTCTTCGTGTCAAGTAGCACTAGTTGACCAGCTGCCAAGACGAGTTCCCGTCGTAGAAGGTCGGTGTATTTACGGGAAGTTGTATTCGCCTTGCGAATTGCGTCCGCAGCCTTTTCGCGAACTTCCTGAAGTTCCGTCACAAATGTTTGTGACCTCGGGACCGGGTTGTCGAGTGTAGTCGTTGTAGGCACCGCCGGGTCCATCCCGTAATTTAAGAAGAACGGGGATTGATTCGTTGTGCTGGACGGGGCTTTGTTGAACGCAAACTCCAGCATGGCGAGCGAGTTTTCCCAGCGAGTGGGGTCCGAGCAGTTTGTCCTAATCAGCTGCTCCATAGTCTGATTGGTGCGCTCGGTCTGGCCGTCCATTTGCGGGTGGTATGTGTGAAAATAGTAGGTATAGTGAGGAGCCATTGTCAAACATTATATATGTTGTGTTAGTTTAGGCTACAGTGGGTTAGCCTATAGGGGGTACACAATTCTAGGGTTAGGTACTTGTACTCATTTCACTGCTAGTTCATCCATTCCTGTTTAGTGATTCCAACATGGTATAGAGCAGGTCCTTCCTAGGACCGAAATTCTCTAAGGGCCCACCACTACGTAACTACCTACCTACCCACCTACCTGTGCCCTAGGGCGCCTCGGCGTGTCACGCCCCTAGAGGCCCCTCTTGACGGCCCCGCGCTAGCCCCGTTCAGGCCCCGTCGGCCCCACGCCCGCTCTCCCTAGCGGCCCCGTTCAGGCCCCGTCGGCCCCTTTAAGGCCCCGTTCAGGCCCCGCGCTAGCCCCGTTCAGGCCCCGTCGGCCCCGTTTCAGGCCCCGTCGGCCCCGCGCTAGCCCCTCTCAGGCCCCGTCGGCCCGCGCTAGCCCCGTTTCAGGCCCCGTCGGCCCCGTTTCAGGCCCCGTCGGCCCCGCGCTAGCCCCTCTCAAGCCCCGTCGGCCCGCGCTAGCCCCGTTTCAGGCCCCGTTGGCCCCGTTTCAGGCCCCGTCGGCCCCGCGCTAGCCCCTCTCAGGCCCCGTCGGCCCGCGCTAGCCCCGTTTCAGGCCCCGTCGGCCCCGCGCTAGCCCCTCTCAGGGCCCGTCGGCCCCGCGCTAGCCCCATTCAGACCCCGATCGGGCCCACGCTAGCCCCGTTTCAGGCCCCGTCGGCCCCGTTTCAGGCCCCGTCGGCCCCGTGCTAGCCCCGTTCAGGCCCCGTCGGCCCCTTGCTAGCCCCGTCAAGGCCCCGTTTGGCCCCGCGCTAGCCCCACTCAGGCCCCGATCGGCCCCGCGCTCGCCCCTCTAGGGCCCCAACCGGCCTCGTGCCGACCTCGCCGACCCGTGCCCACCACCTAGAGGCCCCGGGCGGCCCGTTCCCGCCGCAGCACACGAGGGAGAGCGGGCGGCCCGTCCCTGCCGTGACCCGAGCCGCGCGACCCGAGCCGAGCCGCGCGCCCCGAGCCGAGCCGCGCCACCCATCCGAGCCGCGACCCGACCTGAACCGAGCCGCGCCGCCCTGCCCTACCTGGTTCGTCCTACCTGCTTCTCCTACTGCTACTGCTGCTATTTCTACTGTTCCTATGGCTAGCCCACAGGTTCTCGTGTTCGATGCTGAGGGCCGCCCTGTGAAGTTTGACACCTGGCTCGATGACCTGCACCTCTACCTACAGCTCACAGCCAAGGATGACATCTCACTGTACGATCACGCCCTAGGCCATGTCACTGCCCCTGCTGCTACTGCTGACAGCACTGCTCGCTCACAGTGGCAGACTCGTGATGCCCACGCTCGCTTCGCCATTCGCAACTCCCTGCCGATAGACGAACGCGAGCACTTTGGTCAGCACAAGACTGCACAGGCACTGTACACAGCTGTAGTTGCTCGCTACTCCTCACCTGCCTCTGCCGCACTAGGCCGTCTCTCCCTCCCCTACCTGTTTCCCGACCTGGCCTCCTTTCACACAGTCGCTGACCTCATCACGCACCTCCGTACTAGTGAGGCCCGCTTCCGTGCCGCCATACCTGCTGAGTTCCTTGCCACGCACCCCCCTCCACTCTGGCTCACTCTCTACCACCTAGTACCCGCCTCCTTGACACACTGCGTGCTGTCAGGGACCTCTTCCTAGCTCGTTGCCCCACTGAGCTCACCATTGCCCTCCTCGAGAAGGAGCTGCCCTTGAGCCGCGTGCTTCTTGCTGCTTCTTTCGTGACCGCACTGCCCTTGAGCCGCTTGCTCGGCCAGTTGCTGTCTCCCTTGCTGACCCCTCTGGGGGTCCGGTCATTGCGACCTCTTCCACTGTCCTTCCCTGCCCTGCGGTCCCGTCGGGCACACTGTCAGGTCTCCACCTCCCCTCGTTCTCTACGAACTTGGTGGCAGGATGTGCACTCCAGGACGGGGGTGTTCACCAGTTCACCCCTGCCTACGAGCGCGTGACACACTGCACGTGTGCTCGTACGGGCCGCCACTTGGCTACCTTCACTCGGCAGCCGGGGTCGGACCTGTACACACTGACTACTGAGTCCCCTCAGGTTGCTGCGACTGCGTCCGCGTCCTCGTCAGGTCAGCTGTCCGCCCCTTGCTCGTGTCGCTCTTTGGCACACGAGACTGTCCTCTGACACTACTGCCTTGGCCACCCGTCTGTGCAGCGGCTTCGTGCCATGCACTCCCGGTACCTTGTCTCTGGCCTGCCCAGGGTCCTTCCTGCCCTCCCACCCTCGCCTGCTCCTACCTGTCTCCCCTGTGTCGAGGGACGGCAGCGCGCCGCTCCTCACTCCTCCTCGTTCCCCTCGACGACTGCTCCCTTGCAGACACTCCACATGGACGTGTGGGGCCCAGCCCGCGTCCGTGGTCAGGGTCAGGAGAGGTACTTCCTGATAGTTGTTGACGACTACTCGCGCTACACCTCGGTCTTCCCCTTGCGCACCAAGGGTGAGGTCCCTGATGTCTTGATCCCTTGGATCCGCAGAGCCCGTCTCCAGCTCAGCGAGCGTTTTCACTCGGACTTTCCTGTCCTGCGCTTGCACTCTGACAGAGGTGGTGAGTTCTCCTCCGACCTCTTGGCAGCCTACTGTGCTGAGCACGGCATTGAGCAGTCGTTCACGCTTCCGGCTTCTCCACAGCAGAATGGGGTTGCGGAGCGCCGCATTGGCCTGGTCATGGAGGTCGCCCGTACCTCCTTGATCCATGCGGCTGCCCCCCACTTTCTGTGGCCGTTTGCGGTCCGGTACGCTGCGCATCAGCTCAACCTCTGGCCCCGTGTCTCCTTGCCGGAGACCTCGCCCACGCTGCTGTGGACGGGGGAGGTTGACGATGCGTCGTGTTTCCGGGTCTGGGGGTCTCGAGCTTTTGTCCGCGATTCGTCTGCAGACAAGCTCTCCTCCCGGGCTGTTCCCTGCGTCTTCCTCGGCTTTGTCCCGGACGCGTCTGGTTGGCAGTTTTACCACGCCACCTCGCGCCGAGTCTTGCCCTCCCATGACGTCACTTTTGACGAGTCCGTCCCCAACTACCGCCTCTTCCCCTACCGCACTGCCCCGCTCCCCCCCCCCCGCCTCTCTTCCTCGCGCCAGGTGCTGCTGTTGCAGACCCCCTCCCCCCTCAGGGTGCCGCTCCCTCAGGTGTGTCTCAGGTAGACCCGATTGAGCCTGTTGAGGTAGCTGTCGACTCTCGTCCTGCTGGGGGTGCTGAGCCTGGGGGTGCTGAGCCTGGGGGTGTGGAGCCTGGGGGTGTGGAGCCTGGGGGTGTGGAGCCTTGGGGTGTGGAGCCTGGGGGTGTGGAGCTTGAGGGTGCTGAGCTTGGGGG